TAATCCGGGGGGCAACCCCGACTCTTTCACAGATTTCTTCCCTCCTGACGAGATCAGACGAACGGATGACGAGTCGACCCATACAACAAATATCATTGTTCATACCTCGAGCTAGTAGGTTCAAACAATTGTAATTCAGTTTTTTTCTTCTCATTTGCTCATTAAATGCATTAAATTTAAATGAATCTTTTCTTCCCAAAGGAGATCTGGTGCGAAAAGAGAATGTCCGACGTCGACAACTAGTCCATTTATACCGACAATGGATGCATCTCTGGGGACGACCACACTAATAGTAGAAAGAAGAGACAATGGTGATTAGAGATCATAATGGGTCAGGTTAGTCTGATTTTTTTAGGTCCAACCCAATTAAGCGGTACATCACAAAAAAAAAAAAAATTGATAACATATCCATTCGATTTTAAAAGAGAAAACTTAAACCAGTGGATACCTACGGATGTATGGGTATACATGCGTTCACGAGCATAATTTGCAAATTATTTCTCCGAACAGATAGATTGTAATATTTATCCAAATTTTCTATAAATATATTATTTTCATAATAACTAATAACATCCATAAATTATCCATATTATTATCACTATATTAGTACACTAGCTTATTACCTGGTCCGTTGGCCAGAATATTCATATTTTATGTTACGTTTAAGTCTATCAATATGTTTAATTTTATTGATAATCCTTCGACCGAAATTATACATAAAGAAATAATATATAGGTCGAATATTCAGAGAAATACCATCATCATTTAAGAATATAAAATATAAAAATGTATCATTGATTCCATTTTGATAATGATAATTAAACCCTCGTTAAAATACTATTGGTTAGTTGATTGTCAAGAAATATAGACTATAAAAGCTTAGTGGAATTCCCACAACACCCATAAATAGTTTGAAATCGAATCTCGAACCCCACAATCCTACATAAAGGGTTCAACACTTTTCTTTTAGGAACAATATGCAACTAATCAAAAAGAAACGGAGAGTTGTGATTCAAGTCAACTATATACTAACAACTCAACTAAGAGGGAACCGTCAAAACTTGAGAGCAAATGACAAAATTAGGGTTACCTCTAACATGCTATTAGACTTGATCAAAGTAATAAGACACAAAATTAGATACTCCTTATCTATAAGTTCCAATAGGTTGAATAAAGAATTGACCTACCAGTTCAATTCGATGAATTTTCTATGAGATAGAAAATTAATTGAAGTTGAAACCTAATAACAGAAAGAGGAGCAATGACTCAAGAGATCCACCGAGCTTCAAACATCATACCAGGCAATAGGATAAAAAATAGATCTTCTTCATGTTCTGCTCATGAGACAGCGTGAAGACAAAAGTCGTTTTGTTATTAATCAGAAAGATAAAACTATGAGACATAGAGAAGAAAAGAATGACTTACATATACTAAGCGATTAACCTTGGACAAATATAGAAAACCCATTCAAGGTTAATGCCTGGTATAGGAAGAGGAGTAAAGGCGGAAGATATAATTGATCAAACATTGTATTCAACAATGGAAGCAGCAAAATAGTTCTTCTGGTAGTTCATCGAGGAGAGACAGAACCATTGGGTGATGCCAGTGTCGATGAATCGAGCGAGATATTTAACACAGGACCATAACTACTTGATTGAACTCCATTCTATTCGCCATGGATTGATATTAGAGTCAAAATCTTCTACTTTCCCAAATTAAATCACCAACAATAAAATCGTACGCAGTGCCAATAGATACCGAAAGATTAATTTTCAAAGGCTGCCTTGTACTGGTAAGTGAAAGGGGCAAACTATTGCAAGATGGATGGAATTTCGGAGGGAGTTAGAAAGAGATAAAAAAAAAAGGATAAAAGAAGCACAAAACTTTAAATTTAAATTGAAAAATGGAAGGACATAACACGTAGTAAAAGAAATAATTTTTTCTCTGTTAGCCAATTACCAATTTACCTTTAGAGAAACTTAAGGAGAGAGCAAGAATTTTAAAATAGAGAAAATTACCTGAAACTCTACTATGAAAATCGAAGTATAAAGTACCATAAAATTACGTACGATAGACTTAGTGAGCTTGCTAATCATGATACAAAAGTCCTCCAGTTTTCAGAGTTTAACTTTGTATATGTTTTGTATTAAAAAAGGTTCAATAAATTTGTTTAGTGCAATTGGTTATGATTGTTGTCTTTGTTTAAAGAGACTTGGGTTCAAATCCTAATAATGATATTTTTATATGAAATACATAATTAAGTGTAAAGACAAAAATGTCCTTCCTACTTTTAATCTCATTGCAGAAAATTTGAAATATAAAAAAGTACACAAAACTCTACCATATATTATTGGAGGATGGTATATTGTAATAAAGACGGATACCATATATTACAAAAACTCATATTATAATACAAAAATTAACGTGAGACACCCAAATTTTTATATTTTAATCAAACAAATTACATTGACGTCATTTAACTTTTAAATTGATGAAATAGTTCAAAAATTAATTTTTTATGAATTAAATTAGCTAAAACGACGTTATTTTGTTTATAGGCCGAAAATCGACCGTCTCAGTCATACTAGTGGTATTTAAGTTTGTTTTAGGGATGGCAAAAATATCTGTAACCATGGATATCCGCCCGAATCCGGCCTAATCGGGTAGGGTAAAACCCAAACCCGAAGGACATTTAGTGGGTACGGGTAAAATCCGAACCCAAATATTGCAGGTACTGGGTGGGCATGGGTTTCTCACTATCTAACCCGGTCCCGCCCGATTATACACATGCATATGTATTTTGTCTAGAAATAATCATTATTTTTCTCTAACATATTTTATATTTAGCATATAAATATAATATTTTCATGAAATTGTGTAGTTTTAATTAATTTTCTTCATTCTAGTGAATAATTGTCATACTTTTCCTCTTACGTAATGTGAGAATACGTGTGAATGTTAACATATTTGTTGGAGTTATGAAGAGAAATTATTACCCATTGATAACCGTGGATATGGGTATGTGCATGATTTTCATTTTCTACCCGTTTCACATGTGGATATGGTATGGGTAAAACCCGAACTACTATAGGTAGGGTAACGGATATGCACTATTCGCCCCCAACCCGACCCGACCCATTGCCATCTCTAGTTTGTTTCATGGCCGGTATGAGTTGAACCTAGTTCAACCGGTCGACATTCCACTAGAGTGTAGAGTGACAACCATATTTTTGTCTCAAACGCCAGCTAAAATACGCACAATACCAAACTAACACTAAAATTCTCTAAAATACTAGAGTTTGACGTGGTTCACTGCATTGTACCCAACGATCTAGGTACTGGTTTGTTGAGACGAGAGAGAACCATTTTCGATTGTGCCCAAAAAAATCGAATCATTTTCGAACCAGACTAGACTGAGGCAAATGAAACCGATCCATCCAGATCGTTGTTGACTCTAGTGATCATGTCCAAAAAAACGCTGGACACTGCAGCTACATATATGGTAACTTCAAACGACGATAAGTTTGCGCTCAATTATCCGATCTAACAAAAAATTATTATTTTGAATAACTTTTCAAGATCTTCGAAATTACATCCGTCTTCATCACCAAAGAACATCATTTGTTGTTCCAAAGGGACTAGATAGTATGACAACACTCCTTGTGTTGTTATTATAACAACACTAGTCTCCAACCAATAGGAAGCTAGGGTTGTGATGACTTTTTATTAGATGAGTTTACCTAGTTTAAAATCAAAGCAGGGGTATAATTGTCATTATGAAAAATATGTTTAAATAAAAAAAATATTTCTATTTTCGGCCCAAAATTTTGGTCGCCGGAATTCTGCCACCGGTTGTCGGAAAATGGTCGTCGGTCACCGGAATATGTTTTTTTGTCGCCGGAATATGCTATTTTGTCATCGGAATATGCCACCGTCGTCGGAATATGCTCACCGCGGTCGGAATATGCTTACCGGCGTCGGAATCTAATCATCGGGGCCGGAATATGCCTATTGGCGTCGGAATCTGCTGACTGACGGTCACCGGAATTCGGTCAACGAACTTCGTTGACCGTTGACCGGTCAACGACCACCGGATGTATGGTCTACATTGTGAGATTTATGGTTTGGTTTCTCATATTTTCGTATGCCTTTTGTGGTTTGCTTTATCGTGTTTGTGGTTTGCATTAAGAAGTTTCTGGTTTGTTTTATCATGTTTGTGGTTTGCATTGAGAAGTTTCTGGTTTGCTTTCAAAAAATTTGTGGTTTGCATTGAGGGGTTTCTGGTTTGTTTTAATATATTTGTGGTCTGCATTAGGACGTTTATGGTTTGCTTTTTTGTGGTTTGATTTACTGTGTTTGTGATTTGCATTAGGAGGTCTCTAGTGTGCTTTCGCAAATGTTGTGGTTTGCTTTGTGAGGTTTGTGGTTTGTTTTAGGAGATTTGTGGTATGCATTAGGAGGTTTCTGGTTTGCATTAAGAAGTTTCTGGTGTGCTTTCGAAACTTTTGTGGCTTGCTTTGCGAGATTTCTGGTTTGTTTTAATATATTATTGGTCTGCATTAGGACGTTTTTGGTTTGCTTTACCGTGTTTGTGGTTTGCATTAGGGGGTTTCTGGTGTGCTTTTCAAAATATTTATGGTTTGGTTTGTGGGGTTTCTGATATGTTTTAGCGAATTTGTGATTTGCATTAGGAGGTTTCCGGTATGCTTTCGAAATAATTGTGGTATGCTTTGTAAGGTTTGTTATTCTATCCGACGTTCTTACTAGATGAATGGAATTAGTAACAATAATTATTAATGTGTATACTTACCAAGTTCGTATACATAATAATTACATAGTTCTCTCTTAATTAATTAAGTTTTCACACATAATTAATTAATGTCTCTCTTATTGAAGCGATTGAAAGAGGCTGGGAGGGTTTCTTTGCTTCGTGATTTTAGGAGCGTCGAGAGTCCCTGCTTCGCCTAGGGTTTATTCTACAGCTCTAGCCGGCGGTGGCAATGCCGCTAGCCGGCGGGGGGCCACCCGCCAACTCGCTAGAAAACCTCACCGGCCAACGCAGACCTCCCTCTGCGTCATCGTCTCCGAATCCCAAGGGCGACCGGGAGGCCCAGCAAAGCAAGAAAAGAGTCAAACAAACAGTTCAAGGAGTGCATATTGAGAGTGACTCGGATGTCATTCTGGAGGACGCGGCGACGACGGAAGAACAACGCACGCGTTCAGGTACCCCGCCGCCGTCAGTCTAGAATGCGGGTACAGGAGCAGCTCGTCGCTTATTCAGCGACCTCCTGAAGATCGACGAGTGGTACGTAGCAGACTCCGATTCGGAGGACGTTGCAGAAGCTATGAGAAGATGGTATGGACGCAGGAGAGGAAGCTGATGACGATCCTCTGTGCCCTAATACCCCGTTCACAGCCACCGAAGAGCGTCAATATTGCAGGAAGCTCCGTTCGGCCCTCGTGGTCAAAGTACTGGGACGATCATTGTCATACACAGTGGTCTCACGGAGACTGAATGCCATCTGGGCGAAGGTAGGGGCTATCCAGGTAGCGTCGGCCAAAAAGGGTTACTACATAGTGCGGTTCACGAGTGGGATAGATTACGAAAGGGCCGTTACGGGCGGACCGTGGTTGCTGGGTGACCACTATCTCACTGTTCATACATGGACCAAGCATTTTAACCCATACGAACACGAGATTTCATCGACTCTAGTATGGGTGATAGGGCAAAAGCGTATGCCTTAATCCTATCTCGTAGTAAACCGGAAAGTCCGGGTATCGTCTCTCAGGGACTGGTACAACCTTATGATTTATCAATTCTATGGAGTAAACTATATGTGGTAATGGTTTAATGAGATTATTAACTACTAGCAAAATAATTAAACAAAACAAGCAAATTAAAGTGTCGGGTTTAAATCAATGGGAGAAAGCTCTGGGAGAAACACCGGGATTCACTACCTATCCTATCCAGATTAACTCACATATTCCAATCAATTTAATCCATACCTCTACAGCCAGGATATCACTACTGTGCTAGCTATCCTGTCGGGAATTACTACGTACTAAATAATCAATTCAAATCCTACTGTCGTAGCTCAATGAATTAACTATATAGCCTGAAGATCGATATCCTATTTAAGACCGCATAGAACCTTATTTAATCCACTGTCGCTTCGATAAGTTACTATGTCACATGAAATATGTTCAGTTAATAGGGTTTCACTGTCGCTAACAACCTAATTAACTACGATTCATTGTATTGGTGGCCAGTCAACACAAAGCATTAAGAAATTTCATGCAATAGAGATTGGAAGAAAAGAATCATAAATCAATCCATCAAATCAAGAAATAGCTACATCCTATGGTGTTTCCCCCAGAAATTGGGGTTTAGTTCATGACGAAAATAAAACACACAATCATGTTCATAATCATCATGATATTAATTGAAGCTAAAGAATAAATACTGAAATTATCGGATCGTAATCCAGGCTTTAATCTTTGTCGCTCCAATCGCCACTCTGCTTGCTCCGCGCGATAGCTCTGCTGCCAATTCCAATTATTCCCGGTCCAAGGCTGCACGCGACTCTCCTTCTCCCAAGACTTCTCTTCCAATGAGTTCTCCCCCGAAAACCAATTCAATTCCGTGTCCCAGCTTTTTCCAAAAAAAATCCGTCGCCAGCTATTATCTCCTCCTAATAATTCCGCTGCTCCTCTGTTAATTACAATCCTCCGTCCAAATATCCTCCCTCCTTGAGAAATTCGTGGCCCAAAAAGAATCCTCTCCCTTCTCGTTTATGGCCCACTTCTTTCCCTTTTCTCCACCAAAAATTGGCCCAAAAATTCCCCAATATTAATTGTCCAGCCGCCAGCCCATGAGAAGATCTCCGGCCCAAGTTAATTGGGCCCAATTAATTGTTTGTGCACTCGCTTCTTTTTCGTGCTTTCTCTACCTGTAACATATCAAACTCATGGCACTAGATAGTAATGGTTTTTCAACCATTCCCGGGTTAGCGAGCCCTAAAATAGCACCAATCGGCTAAAACAGATCATAGGATAGTCACATAAAGTTCAAGAATCCGATATATTAAAGCCGATTATCAATGGGCAAGGTTGCTAGATTTACCGGCTCAATACTTCAATACAGATGCCGTGATGAAGATCGGGAAGCGAATTGGGAGACCCCTGCAGGTTGATCAAGCCACGAGCACGGGTGCCCGCCTAGACTATGCGCGTGTTTGTGTCGAGGTCGACCTCTCCAAGCCACTCTTGTCCCAATTTAGAATCCATGGCGTGAAGTACTTTATTCAATACGAGGGGCTGGAAAAGATTTGCCTAATCTGCGAGAAATATTTTGAATGGTCTGGATGCCCTTGCTCCTTTGGCGGGCCAAGCAAGTCAGACGAGGAACCCATGGCCTCGGAGATCGACAAGGAGCCAAACCCAGAACCGGAGAAAGTTTACGGGGAATGGATGATTGCGAAGAAGAAACCATGAGGCCCTAGAAAAGAGATTGCGACAAACAAAACCCTGCCCAACAACAGCCTAGGGGACAATGCAGCCAAGTCGGGGTCGCGATTCAATGTTCACGAAGTTGAGGACGTAATGGATGAGGAAAATGATCAGCCACGAGAAACTACTCAGGTAAACACACCGAACGTGAGTCACGGTGGGGACAGGGCTGGAGCCAAAAAGCCACAAGAGAAGTTGACACAAATGCCCAAAACGAGCAAGGGTACGAAAGAGGCAGGGAACAGACAAACGAAGAAACCAATAAAACCCGCGAAGAACCCGTTGACTACGAGTGATGGAGATGGTAAACAAGGGGAAGCACACCCGGGTAGCATGGACCATCTAGTAAGCGAGCAGCAGCAGGCTTCACCAGCACACCAGCAGGACGTGAACCAGATGGATACGTGGAAGGAGCAAGGATCTCTCAAGCTCCGCACCCACACTTCCACCTTGATGCGAACAATAAAACCCTGAATGCAGCAGCCCCGGGTAGGCCACCGAATATCGCCATCGATGAGGCCTCAAACTCGGGAAAAGTACCCAATCCAACAATGAACCCGGCGTCCGCAAGGACAAGCGATGGCTGTGGCCATCAGTGATTATTCAGGGAGTCTCTTTTACCTTACCTTTTCCATGGATTGTAGTATTTTTTCTTGGAATTGTAGAGGTGCCGATGGCAGGAGTTTTCTCTGAACTTTCTTAGAATACAAACGTAGGTTTCGGCCTAAAATTGTGATTAAAGTGGAGCCGCGAATCAGCGGCGTCACTGCTGAGGAAGTGATCCACGACATGGGTTATGATAAAAATTTCCTCGTGGACGCTGTGGGTTTTTCGGGGGGTATTTGGGTACTCTGGAACTCTGCGGAGTTCAGCCTGACTAGGGTGGATTCTCACGCTCAATTTCTTCATGTGCAGGTTCAACAGGCCAATGGGATGGGAGTTACGTGGCTCCTCACAGCAATTTACGGCAGCCCGATACCCATGCAGAGACGTGAGCTATGGACCGCTATTCGCAGGTTGGCTGAAGACGAAGAGCGCCCCTGGATTCTCCTTGGAGATTTCAACTCCATCCTCCTCCCTACAGAGAAGCTGGGGGGTGCTCCATTCGACGCAGCTAGGGTCAGAGACTTCCAAGACTGTGTCAATGATGCGGGCATAGTTGATCTGGGTTTTTCTGGGCCGGCTTATACTTGGTTCCGGTCGAGGGTTCGTGAACGGCTAGACAGAGGTTTGGGTAATAACAGCTGGGTAACGATGTTCCCGGAGACGTCAGTTAAGCATCTTCCTCGGTTAAAATCGGACCACAGAACGATCCTGGTGTCTCTGATGAACCCAGCCACTCCGGGAGGACCTAAACCATTTCGGTTCCTCGCTGCATGGCACACTCACGAGGACTTCAAAAGGATGGCGAGCGCTGTATGGGGACGTGGAATCAACTTCGCTGAATCAGCTGCAGCCTTCGCCCAAGATGCACAGCACTGGAACAGATTCACCTTCGGCCACATCCAGAGGTGGAAAGATGCTCTTCTGAATCGGATTGATAGGCTGGAAGCTCGAGACACGGGTGTGGAGATTTCAACCGCCCTTGAGACGGCCCGGGAGGAACTGGAATCGGTTCTATTTCAGGAAGAGGTTTTGTGGTGTCAAAAGTCCCGCCAGGACTGGCTTAGATGGGGAGATCAGAATACCAAGTTCTTTCACACCCGTACGCTGATAAGAAGGAAGAAGAATCGGATCACTGCTTTGAAGGGGGCCGATGGTACTTGGATAGAAATACCGGAAGAACTCCATGCTCTCGCCTGCAGCCATTTTGAAAATTTGTATACTGATGAAGGAGGGATTTTCGTTGCTCTCGGCCATGAATTCCCATTGGTAGAGGATGCTACGTGGCTTCGTGTGTCGGCATCCCCAAGTCAGGAGGAGGTTCGGAGTGCTATCAGAAGCATGGGACCGCTGAAGGCCCCCGGAACCGATGGTTTGAGCCCGATCTTCTTCCAGCAGTGTTGGGATGTAGTGGGCGAGTCTCTTACACAGCTAGTCCAATCGTGCTGGGGAGATAGTGAGCAGGTAAGCGGCTTCAACACAACCATTCTCGTCTTGATCCCCAAAGTTCAGGCCCCGGTGCACATTGAACAGTTTAGACCGATAAGCCTGTGTAACGTGGCCTACAAGACCCTGACCAAGTGTATAGCCGAGAGACTTAAGCCGCTAATGCCTTCCCTAGTACATGAAACTCAAAAAAGCTTTGTACCAGGGAGGCATATAACGGATAACATTTGCATCCTCCAGGAGGTCGTTCACTCGATGAGAGCTAAACAGGGTCGGAAGGGGTGGATGGTTGTGAAAGTAGATTTGGCGAAAGCATACGATCGCATACGGTGGAGTTTCGTTCAGGACACTCTCCAGGCCATAGGAGCACACGACGAGATGGTTAGGCTGATCATGGCGTGTATCTCCACGGCTACGATGCAGGTTCAGTGGAACGGTGGTCTTTAGGAACAGTTCATCCCCACTCGGGGTCTCCGCCAGGGCTGTCCCTTGTCACCCTACATTTTTACTCTGTGCATGGAGCGATTGGGCCACATCATTACAGACTCGGTGAGGCAAGGTTAATGGCGGTCCATTAAGATAACGAGCTCGGCCCCAACGCTTTCCCATATCTTCTTCGCAGATGACCTGATTTTATTTGGGGAAGCGTCGCTCCACCAGGCCAGGACTATCAATACCTGCTTTGATGCGTTTAGCGCGTCCTCGGGGCAACAAGTGAGCAAGCCCAAGTCACGAATCTTCTTTTCTAAGAATGTATCCACTCAGCAGAGAACTCAGATCTCAAATGAGCTGGCAATCCCGGAGACTCCTAACTTGGGGAGATATTTGGGCGTTTCGGTCATCCATGACAGAGTATCCAAGGCCACCTACATTGATTTGATTAACCGTATCGATTCTAGACTTGCAGGATGGAAAGCAGCAACAATGTCTCTTGCAGCCCGAGTCACTCTGGCACAATCTGTTCTATCCTCCCTCCTGGCGTACACGATGCAGACGACTCTCCTACCATCTAGTGTCCATGACTACATTTAAGAAAATAAGGAGTTTTGTCTGGGGAAGTACGGAAGGAGGCAAGAAAATTCACCTCGTCGACTGGGACACCCTTTGCGCATCAAAGGAGGAGGGCAGATTGGGTTTGAGGGACTCAAGGCGCACGAACGAAGCTTATATGCTGAAGTTGGCTTGGAGAATGCTGACGAACCCGGAGGAGCTCTGGGCAAGGGTGATTACGGCGAAGTATCTTTGGTTTCGGGATGGCCAGTATGTGCCTCGAACGCAGGGCAGGTTGTCCAATTTATGGCGGGGAATTATGCGAGTTTGGCACCTGATCGATGATGGTTCTATGTGGAACGTTAGGAACGGTCGGACGGCGAGGTTCTGGAGTGACAGATGGCTCAATGATGGCGAACCTTTGCTGGCCTTCGCCCCGGAGATTCCCCAAGAGGCTCAGCAACTACCCGTGGCGGACTTCATGCTCAACAGTGAGTGGAATGTGGATTATTTACGCATTTACTTACCCCCATCTGTTGTTGCGCAGGTATTGCTTCACCCAGTCCCGGCGGAGCAGGAGGAGGACGTTCGGACTTGGAGACTGACCCCCAACGGCAAATTTTCAGTCCGCACGGCGTACCAACTTCTGTCGCAGAATCAGGAAACTCCTTCAGCACATCCCATCTGGCGATCGATTTGGCGCGCACCGGTCATGCAGCGAGTTCGGGCATTCATGTGGTTAGCTAGTCATGATCTCCTGCTGACCAATTCAGAAAGAAGCCGCCGCCATCTCACCCAAGACACCACGTGCAAAATCTGCGGAGGCGGACCAGAGACTACCATCCACATCCTGCGAGACTGCTCGTTAGCCAGAGCTACTTGGGCCGACCTGCTGGACACCGAACCCGACGCCTCATTTTTCGACCAGCCTCGGAAGCAGTGGTTATTTCACTACCTTGCCGGCTGAAGCAACACTGTGGATAGCACTCTCTTCGCATGCACCTGTTGGCTTCTGTGGAAAAACCGGAATAGCCACGTGTTCCAAGACGAGCTACAACTTCCTGCACAAATCCAGTTTCACACCAAACAGCTAAAGCAGCAAATTCTTGCCGCGTTTGAGAAGGAGAAGTCGGTCTTCGGAGGAGGGGGACCTCACGAAAGACGACTTATTAGCTGGCAGCCACCACCGCAAGATTGGGTGTGCCTAAACACTGATGGCTCAGTCACCCATTCTCCTTCGAGCACGGCAGCTGGCGGCATCGTTAGGGGGGGGGGGGGCGATGGTCGATTCATTCGAGCTTTCACTATGAACCTTGGAGGGGGTTCCATTACCCGTGCAGAGCTGGCTGGGATTGTGCAGGGATTGAAACTCGCCTGGGAACTAGGGCCTAGGAAGGTTATTCTACAGACTGACTCTCTCATAGCGAAGACTCTTATCGAGACGGCGTCTCATCACCACCCACATTTCGTTGCCATAGCAGAGATCCGGCGTTGGCTTCAGTTTCCGTGGCAGGTTCGGATCGATCACGTATTCAGGGAGGGTAACTATGTTGCAGATTACTTGGCCTCCATAGGGCATAACTATCCTATTGGTGTTCATGTCTTTGACACCACGTCGAGCGATTTATCCTACTGGTTGTACTTTGACAGGATCGGAGTTGAAACTCCACGTTTTATTAATGCATAAAGGTTGGGACGCCCTTTAAGCGTCTCGTTTCCCGACCAAAAAAAAATCATGTCTCTCTAATTCATTTGCTTGTACGGAGGTGAGGACATGGACTGGATCAGGAAATTCACCACAACAGCACAAGCAGTAGCTGCCTGGAGCAGCAGGAATCACCATGGAAATGCTGTACGTCGGGAAGAGCAGCTCGAAGGAGAAAGTGAGGAAGAACAACGTCGATGGAGATGTGCGGCCAGCAGTGAGATTTCACCATCTTCCAGCGCTGCATCTCTCGAACCTCCTCTCCTTCGCTTCCACCATCTCCTCCAGTACGATCGAGGGTCGCACTCGACACGCTCTCTAGAGTCAAACTCCGGTCCTTCAAAACCTGCAGCAATGCTTCGACATTCGCAGGCACCGCATCGACTCCGTCAACCGAATCCGACTTCTCTAAGACCTGGATTTGGAGCTTCAGCAACTGAATTTCGCTCAACAGGGACTCCTCGTCAATGCAACTGCGAATTGGAGCTCGGAAAAACCTTCGCCCTCCCTGAACTGGGTGTCACTTTCGAGACCCACGGCGGATTCGAAGCTCTCCTCGGTTTCGGGTTCAATTCGTCGACCAATGATTACAAGGTCGTGAGAGTCGTGCGGCTTCTAGAGTACGAAGAAATCGCAATTGAAGTCGAGGTTTTTTCACTGAATGTCGGCTCGTGGAAGACGATTACCTCCACGGCTCCGCAATACAACATCGTGGAGCGCGGGTCCCAAGCCTTTGGTCAACGAGTCGGTCCACTAGGTCGCGACCCGGCCCGGCAACGACGGCGGTGGTGACAAGAACTTGATTCTGGGTGTCGACCTAAAGGGGGAAGAGCGGTTCAGGGAGCTGGAGCTGCCGGAGAGCTTGAAATTGGAGAGGTCGGAGCAGCCTGAGCAGATCTGTAGTTGTTTCCGGCAACAGAGCGGAAGAAGGATATCGCCGGCGTCTGCTTGAATCGGAAGGAGAGGGGTGGAAGGAGATGTGACTGCGGAGAAGATAGATCTGTAGAAGGGAAGATCGGATGAATCGGAAGGAGAGGGATGGAAGGAGATGCGACTGCGGAGAAGATAGATCTGTAGAAGGGAAGATCGGATAGATAGGTGATAGGAATTTTCTATTTATTTTAATTTTGAATTTTTTTGGTTAGTTTACCCTTTTACCCTTAATGAATTCTGTTGTTACTATAACAACATTAAGGGTGTTGTTATTCTATAGCACCCTGTTCCAAACAAGCCATTCTACGATTTCGACAAATTATCCGACCGTCCGTGCGCATTTCTAAACCACAAGATGAAACTCTTAAGATTCAACGTTGGGAGAAAGAGCATGACATTGCATATGTACAGAGGAATACTTGTCCAATCTTTCTTGTTTTTGTTCTCATACCCACCATGGCTTTTCAGTCAAGTCTTTGGAGAACACGTACCGGAATCTAGAACTATAAGGAAACCACTCCACTACTACGACCTTCGACGCCTGCTTCTTCCCCAATTTCCGGTCACCGGCGCACTTCTCAATCGAATCTCCGAGCTTCTTGTCGACATTTTTCACCACCCACTTGATCAGATCGTCGTCGTCGGAGCTCATCGTCATCGAAGCTTCCTTCGCGAACCGCTCGAGCAGTTTCGGGAGGAACACCTTCTTCGACTTCTTCACCACGACGTTCGATTGCAGGAACTCCTTCTTTGCAGCTTCCAGCTCTTCTTTGACGTTTGATGACGTGTACACCTTCAGCTAGAGCATTGATTTGGAAGATAGTACGTAATTCATAACTAACTAGATTTGCAAGCAATTAATTTCTGAATGGCGAGAAAGGAAGACTAGACATTTTGGAGTAATTACCACGGGGTCGGAGAATGTGCCGGTGCAGAGGGCGAAGCAGGCTAGCGGCAGAGGAATTGAGAGGCCGAACTTGGAAGAAATGAACTGCCTTTCTTCGCTTGATTTCTTCCGCAGCGCCGTCGAGAGAATGGTCTCAAGCCACTGGATTGTAACGGGTGTTCATCAGAGTAAAGTAGTAAACACATGTAATAACTCATGATTGATTTCCCAATAATGTGTCAAAACCAGTTCTCTATCGGTTTGCCCTATCCTAACTAGGCTTGTTAGTTTTTGTTTTGGTTTTTCGATTTTAATCGAAACCAAATCGATAAGACACGTTTAATTATTTTGGTTTTATAAGTGTTTAGCATCTTAATGGTTTGCCTTATGTTGAAACCGAAAAAAATCAATTAGAAACCAATAACATTCTAATTAAGTCAATTCCCGTCAACAACACGCATTATCAACAACTTATGTGTAGTAGACTTCTTTCCGATCTCCGCGCTTCTTGTTGTATTTCCTGACTTTCAAAACTAAGATTTGATTTCTGGTTTATCCAAAACAAAATCACTAAGGGATTTATCGGTTTTCAGTTAACCAATAACCGATAACACCCTTAACAGTTTTTCGTTTTCGAGAATTTGTCTGATTTGGTTATTGGTTTTCATACTCAATGGTTTGGTTAACCAAACCAAATCCTAACTATAACTTGATAACAGAATGAAACCAGTTTTGTTGCCTAACAGAGTACATAAAGCTGGCTTTGTGTAGAAAATGCTATTACCTTCCCAACACGAGGTGTCCGGAAGCAGAAGATGGAATGCTCAATGGAATTTGCGCTAATGATGTGGCCACCTATGTTGTAAGCAGCCTGCACTATACACAAAACACAAGCCCTCTCACTTTAATTTCCCCCATAATGTCATATATAGCCATGGCAGTTCAACAAAATGAGATTCAAGACCAATGGCACAAGGCAAAGTAAGTTGAAGTACCTTGTGAAACAGAGCTAGCCTCCTCAGGGAGCTGTGGGGGATGCCATAGGCCAAATATGCCTGCACCAAGCCAAAGAGAAAAACTTTTAACTTTCTAAACAAACAAAAAGGACCATATATCTTGTAGGCTTTGAATATTTACATGCATCACAAGGGAATTGTAGACGTTGATCCAGAATGCAACTTGAGCATCGTGTTCCATCTGGGTTACTGTCACTGTTTCCAGCTGTTCCACTAGAACCCTGAGAAATGGTGGCAAAGAGCTTGAAATTTTAGTACACATGGAAATTAAGTAAGAAAAATAGTACTTCTTAAACACACCTGTAGTGGTCAATGGCATAGGATGCACAAGAGTACCGGCTTTTATCAGTCGATATCCAACAAACTTCCACAGTCGATTTGCAAGACCAATCTTCTTCCTCTTGGCTGATCTGCTCTCCGTTAACAACGTTGTTTCCTCGCCTTGGAAGCACGACATTGGTGGACGACCTCGACAACAGAGGCGACCGGCCTTTGACAGATGGGTTCGCGCCACCTGGCGTGGAGCTGCTGCATAGCCAGCAGTACACTGCAGCCATGCACTTCACCATCTCCTCGGAGAGCTTGCTTGGACATTGATCGAGATGATCCTTCAGAGTCTTCTGCTGAATTGACACTGATCTTTCCACTAGTGTTGATGATGCACCCCTTTGATGAACCTGCAAGGAGAAAGTAAGCATTCAATTGCATAAATGATCAATCAATATGTAGCAATGATGAGAGAAACCACAAATTTACCTTAACTTGGCTGGAGCAGGACTTGTGCAGCCGATTGTCTTTCCTACCAAACAACGTACTAGCACCAACATTTGCCCTACTTGATGGTCTCTTCCCCGATTCACCGCCACCATTGATGGAAACAAGTGACTGCAGAGGTCTCAAGGGGAACAACTTGGAAGAACAGAAAGCACTTGAGATGATCCTTGGATGTTTCTTATTATGATTGGACGATGGAGATGACAAATGCTTTGCAGGAGCAGGAGGAGGAGGATGGGAAGGAGAAGCCACATTCGAGCTTTGCTGTGAAGTTGCCCTACTAGTACTAGTCACACACTGATCGAATATGGTTCTGTACAACGTTAGCACGTGCTGCTCACGGTTTGTTACCTCTTGTTCTAGCAACTCGATCTCGGAAATCAACTCCTTTGTCTGAAAAAAATGTTGGATACGATAAGTTTGTGAGCTTGAATTTCTGTGAGGATTTAGCAGACGTTAACTGGAGGTTACCGAAATTCGAACGCGAATAGTGCAATACCTGAGAAGCAAAATGCCTGTGACCAGGGGACAAAGTACTGGAAGCACGGCCCATGGCTCGTTCAAGCATCAAACGCATTGATCTTTCTTCCTGCAGCCTTAACTGGAGCAGCTCAACCTAATGCAAACCAACCAGTTTTACCCAATTACATAACTTCAGTGCTACAGCTTTACACAGCAGTAATTTTTCTTAATCAAAGGACTCACATCTTTCTCTAGGGAGGCTCTGTGGTTCGAAGGGTCATTCCTGCTAGAAAATTCACGCAGAGGGCTTTGCACGGCCACATGGCTCCTTCTTGCCCATGCTGGTGATGATGACATTATCTGTTCATACTACTTGTGATTATTCAATAGGAACATAAAGTTTTCCTTTATAGATTTTTTTTTTTTTTTTTTGCAAGAAATTGGGCATGGAATGAGAGAGAAGTTTCGTATATTCTCACTTGCATTTCGGTTTGGTGATCCTTGTTCTTCAACTTGGATTGCAGAATTCTCTGTACTTCCACGTTCTTCTCAGTGGCACTGTCAAAATTTGCAGAGCATATAAAAACAGAGGAGTATCTCAACAAAGAGAAGAAGAAAAAAGAAGCAGAGGGTTATGGTCAAAATTCTCCCACTACCATTAGAAACCCACCTCCTAGAGCGCCTGTGGTGAAGTTGGTTATGACCGCCATCGACTCGCGGCGGCCGCCAAGTGCTTGCAGTCGTGCTGGCGACGGTGGTGTCCATCTTTTCATCAGAGCAAATTACTCCATCCATCATACATTCAAATAAAATCACCTGAACCCACTAGGCAGGACGGCGTGGGGAGGTGGAAATCATGATAAAAGGACAACCTTTGAAACATATGCAATGGTGAGAGAACTGGAACAGGTAAACCGAGAGAAACAGAGGAGAGCGAAACAGAGGAGAGAGAGAGAGGGAATTTAAGTTTGGGGAATTGTCGAGTTTAAACCATGGAAGTAGAATAATTGAGCTAGCAGTTGCAATGCAACACTTACCAGAAAGGACAATTATGGGTCCATGAAGACAATAGCATCGTTCTATCATTTGGTGTGGGGATGGATTCCTTATAGAGTCTGTAACTGTTAAGATAGATAGGTAGAGAGAGAGAGGAGGAGGCGGGTGGAGATGGAGGGAATTGAATGTGGTTGCTTTGAGTTGTTGGAGGTGGAGTCAGGAGAATTTATTTCAGTTTGGTCCTGATTCTTCTTCCTTTCCTCCTCCACTCTCAAGAGGCTGCAGCCTTGGTCTGGTCGTCCCTCTGTACACAGGACCAGAGGACCGCTATGAATAAGGTTGGACAAGAATGTTAAGAAACAAACTAATTAATCCCATTAACTCTTGGAAAAAAATGTTAATTTTTGTTATCTCTTACTCGCTCTTTCAAACGAAAGTCTATATTTGCGGGTTTCGAGTTTACACTAGTTGAACATATCAATGATATCATTCATTGTGTAAAACCACTAATCTTTCGGTTTGTACAGGTTGAACATATCATTTTTTGCACTAAACCATTGTTTAGATTGGATGTTGTCATTAGGATTCAAAACCATGACTTCTCGATCGAAGGCTCTAATACGATGTTAACGAAGAAACCACTTAATTCTAAGAGCGTAGCCATGATTTCATCTAAAGTGGGCCCTTTTTTTTTGTGCATTCAATGCACTTACCTCATAATCGTCATTCTTAGCAGGCGATGCAAATGAAAACAATGCCAATCATCACTTGTAGTATGATGGACAAGAAACACATGAATTTGTACAAAAATCATTCAAGCATTACTTTAATTTGAAAGATTTAGGGTTTATGGATTTAGGGTTAGGGTTTAGGTTTACAATATGGGGTTTTGGGTTGGGATCCAAAATTGAGGGTTAAGGGGTTAGAGTAATGGATTGATTAGTTGTGATTCTATGTTATATTATCATATTAGACTAATGTTACAAATTAAAGTTCAAAATTTGTTGTATTATGCCCACTTTTAGAGTTGGGTGCATTCAGTGCATCCAAAAAAGTGAGTGCAATGAAGTAGGCACTATATATATATATATATATATATATATATATGAGATAGGTAATGATAAATTAGTTTTTTTTAACTATTCTAATAAAAAATTCTCAATTAGAACAACTTTAAGGGGTCGTTTGGAGAACAGGATTTAGGGCGTGAATTCATTGAACCCATAGCTTTTTTAGAAAGTTTTGTTTTTTGTTGCTTTTTGTATTGTGGATTTTAGCTTTAGAGATTTCAAATCTCTAAAATCTACGGATATCAAATCTCTCATAATGAGAGAGATTATATATCTTGATTCGTAAAAAAAAATCTCCTACTTTTCTCTTTCTTTTATTTATATATCATATTAAATATATTTATTAACAAAGTTTTTAATATTTCTCTAACCACTCTAATTTTTTATTAAGTATAAACATGCTATTTAATATAAAATTGATTTTTTTTATTTTCATTGAATGTTAACTATTTTTATTTTACAAAAGATAATCATATATTGATTGAAACATAGGTAGTTACATCATGGAGTCCAGGCAGGCCTGATAATCAAAGAAATGACTCATAGACAGGTACAATGAAAGAGCTTTTCCAAGGTTTCTAACTCTGCTCAACAGACGGGGCATCTGGGGTGCACATGGACTTTCTTCTCAATCAGTGCTTCCGTAGTGAGCAGGATTCGATTAAAGATTTGCCAAATAAACACCTTCAATTTGGGAGGAATATTGGCATCCCATAGGCGAATCCAGCTGGCCTTATACAACATTCTCAATTCTACACTCTCTAATTTTGATCATCAATTAATTATTATATCTTTTACTTATTTTTCTATCAAACCAAGGTACTCGAGATCACCCTATTATACGCTGCCTCCTCTTACTTAATAACTCAAGTTGCTGAAAAGGGGTATGTTAAGTTTTCATCTCTTTGAACGGGAAATAAATTGAAACTAGTTTTCTGACCCGCGCTTCGCAGCGGTAAGAAATTAATTATATTTCAATTTCATCCACTCCTTTAATAATTTAATTAAAATCAAATAATTTTCAAAATCATTCTCGTAAGATTCCTTCATATACTTTACATAGTGTCTCATCATTATGGAATATTTACGTAATACATTTGCTTAATTGATGTATAAAAAATAATAATTCCTCCATAATCTCTACGTAGTGTCTTATTCATCACAAAATATTTATTTAATATGCGTGTTTAATTGATACATAAGAAATAAATATCTACGCGTAAGGTTTATGTAGTGTCTTTATCATTACGAACAACTTGCATAATGCGTTTTAATTAATTGATAAATAGACCATCCCTTCCTGAGGTTTACTTAATAAATTTTCTATTTATCTAACTATTACATAATGATGTTACATAAATCTTTTGTGTGGTATGATAATAAAATTAAGTTATGAAAATTATCACATTTGATTAAAGTATTGTGCAAAAGACTAAGGGGTCGTTTAGATGAGACATTGTGATGGATCAATTGTGCTTAATTGGCTCATTTTGAGTCAATTGGGCCAGATTGACCCATTTGGCAATTCAAATCTTAAATGGAGCAATTTGGGGCGGTGAAATCTACTTTGACGCGTTAGGGGTCAATTAGAAATACTTGGGGTAGGGGGAGACAATTGACATTGACCTGTTTTTGGGCAGTCATTCCAATTGTGGCCCTCTGTGCCTTTTCCCTTCCTCTCTCTTCTTCTTCTTCTTCAACGAAACCCTTCTTCATCTTCTCCTCTACTCTTTCCCATCTTTCCCTGCAGACGATCTACAACGGAGCTTCACAAATCGCCAGTCTTCTCTTCATAACAAGAGTCTTCATGCATCGTCCCAAGCGAGTCTCCAAGCGCGATGTCCGCCGTGAAAAGATGACTCATCGGCGGCAAAGAGGAGGAAAGGGAAGTTTCTCCGATGCCGTTGAGATTGGCTTTCTGGGCTTCTGAAGTGGAGCTCCCGAGCGTTATCAATCACTTCCTCCTCGTGACGGGTCTGACTTCCGGCGACGAGTCAAATTTTTTTCTTTCTCTCTATTTCCTTCCCGGCGAGAAATCATCGTCTTCTTCCTACCTTGGCGTCAACCATGTTTGTGGGTTTTCAATTCAAGCAAAGTTTCAGATAGGATTTTGGATACTCTACTTTAATGGGGTTTTGTTTGATTACGGGGAAACTTAATTGGGCAACCTTCTCATCAAATTTTCAATTTTGTTTCAGATTTAGTCTTCCTCCTCCTTTGGGTATCAATCCCTTATTCCCAAAATAAAAACAGAGGCCACAGCAGCAGCTTATAGGACCTGATCTGTTTCACTCTTGAAGCTCTTGCTTTGTTTCTTTTGGGTTGCAGCTCTATCTAGAACTGCTACTGCTTTTTATTCTTGCAATTTGCTATGCTGTTTTATCTTTTGATGGATTGGGTTTTCACATTTGTAATGCCCAGTCGTCCCTTCGTTCTACACTCTGTGTTGGTGGTTTACAAAGAGAAGAGAGGGAGGGTAAAAGTGTATTTATGGCAAAATGTTCCATTTCAATTGCCTCATCCTAAATACTAACCAAACAAGACAATTTCACACAATTTCCTCATACAAATGACTCATTTTTTAAAATGAGCCAATTAGATCAAATTGCTTCATTTTCCCATTGTTCCATCCAAACGACCCCTAAGAGTTAAATTGAGTAATTGACGTTACCGAACCTCTGTGCAATGAAAATTGATTATATTGTGAATATTTTAGTTAGTAATAAAGAAATTAAGTTATACAAAATACCTTGCTAGGTAGCATGGAGGTTCCTCGTCAAGTCAAAACCCAATGTTGGGGATTGCTATTCGTCGCCCTAAATATTTGAATTTATCGCCCTAAACCATAATAAAGTTACACTCTTACCCTTCTCATTAAATTTTGATCCATTCCATTTCCCTCCTTCCCCATTCCAACCGTCGACCACCACCAATCAATGAATTCCAACAATGGGAAGAGAGGCCGGGCCGAGCAGTCCAGACACGGGAACTCAACCCATTTCTAGCATCGGTGTCCTTAGCCCAGAAAAAGATGATTGGGAAGCTTATCAAATTCTTTTTTCGGCAGCGGATTTGGGAAATGAGGTTTCTTTGCCTTCTGCTTCCTTCTTTTCCCTTTCTTTATTTTTGTTTAATTTTAGTATATTTGTTTAAAGTGATTTGACGGAGACGGGAAAGGAAAATGGATTTGGGAAGAAGAATAAATTAACTTGGAAATTGACAGGGAGGTAGGCGGTGGGAAGATAGAACGAAGTTGGGTCGGGTAATGGGAGTTGCGGCGGGTTAGGGTTCTGGGAAATAGCGGCGACGACCGACAATTGGCTGGTGGGCGGGACGCAACGAGGAGGTAGGGATTAAGAAAATTTAAGTCAGGGTATAAATGTCAATTCAATATGATTTAGGGCGATAATTTTTAAAATTCAGGGTGACGAATAGCAATTCAGAAAATGTTATATTTGAGTACACTGTTGTGCAAGAAAAACTAATCTTACGGAACCTTTGTACAATGCAAATTTTTTAGTTGGTTATTAATTTAGTTAATATAGGAATTTTGGTTCACAACTATATTAAATTAATTTTATGTTGGCCAAACCAAACACGCACTTTTACGTAACATATGGTTAAACTGCAAATTTTAAGTTTGCCCTTGGTTAGATCCTATATCTATTCTGAAACACTATTCGTCGCCCTAAAATTTAAATTTTATCGCCCTAAACTATACTAAAATGACACATATGCTCCTGCCCCAAATCAAACCAAAACCCTTGACCCTTCTCTCTTGGCAACCAAAATCTGCCTCCTCCCATTCTTGGCAAAGTCCAGAACTGATCACTGGCGCCGTCGTGTTGTCGTTGCTAGGAGGAGGAAGACGGTCGCTGTTGCGGTCGCCGAATTCAGTCCCTGCCACCTGCTGCATTTATCCATGCAACCATTCATGGAGGGACACACTTAAGTTTAAGGAATTGAGAGGGAGGGGATATACATATATCCTCTGTTCATTCAAAGTGAACAATTAATCACGTGGACCATTAATTGGACTTTTCTTTTCCAATCAATAACGTGGATGATTAATTCAAAATAAATGGAAGGACAACTTGGTTCATGATCAGACTTATCTGTTCATATATTAACCAATTCTTCATTCCATATAATTCTCCAACAGTTGTCGTTGCGTGCAAGAGGAAGGAGGGTAGGCAGATCCCGGGCGGTGCTGGTCTGGTGCTGCGAAGAAGGAGGGGAGCAGATACAGGACGCCGCTGGTCGGTTGCTGCGAAGAAGACGGGTAGGCAAATCCCCGACGCCGCTCTATTTCTGCGTCCAGTACCCACGAAAAATAAAAAACAAGGGCATTTGTGTAAATTCAATAAGATTTAGGGCGACGAATAAGTTATTTTAGGGCGACGAATAGCAATCCCCCTATCTATTTGATCCGATTATAGATTGAACGGATTGATGTTTACCCTTATTTATAGTTCACAAACTATCATCTATACATATTACTACACTTCCTATACACGTGGATCAATTAGATTCATATATTTATATGTTATGCCAATAAACCCATTACGTATCTAGGCCTTTAATCCGTTGTCTACCAAGGGCGGGCCTATCTTAGAGCGGACCACATAGTAAACCCCCCATGAAGTGAACAGTAACCCACGGAAGTATTTTTGGTAAGTGGGAGATGTTTCCGTTAAAACTGCCATTTTGGCTATTTAATCTTATGCAACAGTAAACAAAACTTGCGCCGTTAATTAATTAATTAATAAGGGAGGGAATGGTGGAATTTTAGGATAATTAGGTTTAGCTGCTTAATCACGAGTCAGCAAGATGTGATCCATTTTAATAGTTAAGTTAAATTTTATCATATGATAATTTGGTTAGAAAATAATGAGAATCAAACTATCATTGTAAAAAAATTCAAATAAGACACTACAATTGAGAAGGAGAAAAGATGGGCGAAAAAATATGTTGGTGATGAAGTTAGACAAATACTTTATCTCAAACACGTGAACTTTATAGATAAGACTTGAAACAAAACATGAACTAGAGATGATTAGCTTGCCAAATCGTGGCTAGCTAGATAGTAGATGTCACATTTTTTTACTTAGTACTTAAGGGTGTCTAGAGGGAAGGGGAAGTCCATCCTAAAATTAGAATATGTGATCTCTAAATTATAATAAAAAAAAGGTGATCTCTAGATAGAAAACCATTAGTGAAACCACAGGACTAATCCATATTTCGTTGGAAGTCCACTAAATAGTGGGATTATAAGGCTGGTTTGCTTATTAGATTTTATGAGGGTTTTGTGTTTTAAAACTATTTGGATGTATGAAGAGTATTGTTTGTTTAGTTAATTTTATTATGGATTTGTCTCACATTTTTGCTTTTTTATTATCAAATCCCAAATGAAATGTGGGATTTGCAAATTTGTGGGGTTCAAGAATTTGGATCTAAACATGGGTCTAGATCCGTGAACCTAACGGATTTGTGTCCCTTAGCAAACAACAGATTTGTGGCAAGTCCTTGGTGCTTGAAATTGGGTGGCAAATCCATCACCCTAATCCCACAAGCAAAGGATACCTAAACTCATTCTATTACAAACATACATGCAAGTCACCTCTTCCGGCATTATGTCGAAACCTTATATCTAAACGCACTTGTTTGATTTCAATCTATTTCATTTGTTCCAGATGTAAGCGATCATTTATAGTGCAATACATGATTCTCCTTTGTAAAACGAAAATATTTAGTTCCCCTCTCTGTTGAGGGTAGTACAGAGACACTAATTAACAGCAACTGCAAAATATACAAAAGCCTTGAAGAATGAAGGCGGTGGAGAGCTGGTGAAGCAGCAGCCACCAGTAAGCCTGAACTATGCATCTAAAGAAGCAGTATTGGGCAGAACAAATGAGTATCCAAAGACAGGATAAAGCTGTTCTGCCCTTTTTTACCCTTTGCATTAATGGACACTGCAGACATATTTGGTAAATGTTTTTATTACATATGTACTGTAGTTTTTATATAATTTGAATTCTTTTACTGTTAAGTATTAACTGATGTGTCTGGTCCTTCATGGTCTCTGTTGGAGACTGAGTCGTGCATTGGGTGAATGGCAGGATCTTCTTATTAAGTCCAAGTCTCTAATTAGCACATGATAATCCGTAACCCACTCATTCACACAGATTGTTTGGACTTTGAGAATGGAAATATTTGGGCCGTGGATTAAGCTGAAGCCCAAAGGATTTCCCGCTGAGATAGCCCAACATAATTAGCCCTTTTTTTTTTTGGTCAAAGAACATGTTTGAACCTAACTGAGTGTAGGAGTGAAGTTCACTAGAATGGGTCGAGAAGAATAAACGGCTTGGTTGAACAAGAACTTTGAGACAAATGAGAGGGAGGATAGAGCTGAGAGAGAGTGTGTGTTTAGTGAGAGAAAGTGATGATCTTAGAGATAGAGTCTGAAAAATCCGATCCCCTCACCCACTGGAGTAAATGCCATATTTATAGGCTACATGGTGGTGGGTGAGTTACATGATGGTACAATGACGTGACCACTACGGTACGGTGACATGACCACTGACATGTCAGGGACAAAGACCATATCCCTATGGGTGACAAGACCCTTAGCCATGACTATACCTAGGACTATGATGTTGACTACCCTTTGGGTGACGCGGCGCCGCTTCTACAACTTCTCGGTGAGGGCCCGTGCTTGTCCAAAGCGCCGTCGTTTGGTGTCTATGCGCGGTCCTTGGGGTCGGTCTCTACACTCGCGCCTAGCCCTGGCGCGACTCGCGCGTTGACTTTGGCGTGAGCATCCTTGGGTATTTCTTCGACGTGTTGAGATCCGAGTCACATCCCCAACAGAACATAATTAGCCCTCTTCACATCGAGTGAAGTTTATGATTAGGTCTTAGGTGTTGCTAGTATGAAGTCTGCACTTTGTATAAGAATCTTAATTTATTGTTACATTAGATGCAATAGTTGAATTAAGTTTGTTATAAGAGCCGTTTTTATCTTTCTTTCGAGAATTCAGATTATTGAAATGGATTATTAGGATTAGAAATATCATTATGGCGAATGAAATGTGCAAAATTTTTTTAACCGTTTTAACATTTCCGCTAAAAAATAATTAGCTAGCTTTCCAAGAGAGGGATTGGGATACAGATGTTAGATTGCTGTGGAGGTGCTGCCATATTAAAAGCCATAGTTGAACTTTATGCAAGAAAAAGGAAGACAAAAGGGAAGGACCATTATGGTAAGTCAGTCTCTTTCCACCATGAATAAGGTCTCCGTCCGACCATTCATGAAGCCTTAAACTAGATTAGATTATCATCCAAAGTTCTGCAGTTATCATTTAGCATTAGCAACTTCAATAATCTCAAGTTTATCACTAATGCAAGAGACATGCGTCGACTACTGAATTCTCTTCTGTTATATATTTATTTGGGGTATATATATATATATACAAAACTACAGCAATTTTTGTTTTGGTAATCATAGCTTATATTATATGGGAAGAAGGTGGGATCGCCAGCTCATGCATGCATCAATTCATTGAACAATTAGCAATTAGTGGCGACTTAAGCAGCCGGAGCCTTCTAGCTAAATTTATATCAAACACTCTTCAGTTGAACCTAACCCTTTTATACTAATTCTCTAACTTCCTCAACCTGATTAGGATAAGTACTTAATTATCACGACAATTCTTTTTCTTGGTTTCTCATTTTCTTATAATCTCTAGTTAAGTAAGCACAAGTCGCAAGTACACATCATTGCTGAGTGTTTTTCTGTATGAAATACTTAAAATAACAATTAAGTTGTCATATTAATAATTAGTATAATATTGTTTACTATTATATAAAAGATGCATCATACAAGATGGAACAGCATATAAGTTAGTTTAAGTCATGTAATTATTATTCACATCTTCACTATGTATGTAAGCGAGTATCTTATATGGATATTATGTATGTTCTAACTTATTAAGTATATAGATTGAGTTAGTCATTGGACTTTACTTTCCATAAGTTAGTATCAACTCTCAAGAGAAGGATGAGATCGATATGACATCGGTGTGACCTCAGGCACCCTCCGGTGGAAGGGGTATTATCCAATTATCTATAGCTTTATAATTTTCTAGCCTTTATAAACAACGAATATGAGAAAATTTGATGGAAGTATAACCTAGTAACCTCATAAGATAGATGGGTCATATTCAGTCCAATAACAGTGTTTTGTTTTTCAATACATGAGTTAATAGCTCAAACTACGATTTTTTATGTGAAAACAATTGCAGCTAAATCAGAGTGTCGGATGACACGACAAGATCAAACAAAGAATCAATGAGGCTCCAACCTAACACACCTAGACTAAAAGCTCAACTACTCTCTTGATATCAAGATATTGCAAAACTTTTCGTTAAAAATTCGAATTGCAAAATGATGCCGTTATAATTTATGCAAAATTACTTATATCTAATAGTGATATGATAGAAAAAATACTTAGCTATATAAAAACAACAAAAGTGCCAAGCCTCATTCCCATAGGTTTGGCAGCCAACGAAATTGATTAATAAAATCATATCCGACATAAATACATTATCATTATTAACAAAGAGGTTTGGTTAGGAGCTTTGTCATAATGCTCATAATTGATCACTAGCCTGATTATTAATCCCAAAAGGCGGTTGGTCGGCGGCCAATCATAGACCGTGGAGAGCACTATTAGCACTAAGAGTGGGTCCCTTGGCCGGTGACCGTGGCCGGCCGTGATGCTCTCACCGTCGTTTTTTTCTGCCCAAAAAAGCCAACTAATACTGCAACCACTACTAGCTCGCTATGGCGTCTCTTCCCCATTATGTGCAAATATAAATACCTTCATCGATGGCAGAAGAATTCCATCAACCCAAAAGCGAGAAAGCAATTGCTAAGAGAGTTTTAGCAACACCAAAAACAAAAAGGCCTAGAAGCCTAAGTGAATAGCTTTGAGAGAGAAAGGAAAGATGGTGAAGATAGCATTTGGAAGCCTTGGAGATTCATTCAGTGTTGGCTCTATCAAGGCCTATCTCTCTGAGTTCATTGCTACCCTCCTCTTTGTTTTTGCTGGTGTTGGTTCTGCCATCGCTTTCAGTAAGTCCCCAACTATTCTCTCTCCGTATATTGGGTTGTGTAAATAATACGAGATTTAAGTTCTTTATGTATTGACATCTCCGAGTTATTAGAATGAAGTATTGTCTCCTAATTAACATGGTATTCAAGACTTTGATAATCGAAAGACAACTCATGTTTCATTTTTTTTTTTTTTGATAATTCGGAATAATAACTGTTGACTTAACCGTAAGGACCTATATAAACCGCATGCTTGACATATGGAGTTATTGAGATGAAATACATCCTGACAAATATGGAACCCTAATTGAAATCGGGAGAAGTTGAAAAAAAATGATTCAATTTTGAACCCCTCCCACCAAGTTACGTTTTGAAAATTGGATGTTAAATGGTGATTTAATGAGTTGTTAACTCGATTTTTGGTTGACAGGCAAGCTTGCTCCAGATGCAGCATTAGACCCAGCTGGCTTGGTCGCCGTCGCCGTGGCACATGCCTTTGCCCTGTTTGTAGGAGTTTCCGTCGCGGCCAACATCTCAGGTGGCCACTTGAACCCAGCTGTCACCTTCGGATTGGCCATCGGTGGCAACATCACCATCCTAACTGGCTTCTTCTACTGGATTGCCCAATGCCTTGGCTCCACCGTCGCCTGCCTCCTCCTCCACATCGTCTCTGGTGGCATGGTAATTTTTACACACCTAAAAATCCAAAGTGAAGAAGTCACAAATGTTCCAACACCAGCTTGATTACGGGTTAATTAAAACTACTAAGTTCACTAAATCGATTTTTACACAGACTAAACATGATTAGAAAACTCCGTACCTAATACGGATTGGACTTTTTTCATTATCATTTTGACTTAAAGAGCTGACAAAAGAATTTGGTTCTGGTGGGGATTCCAACAGAGCATCCCAACCCACGGAGTTGCAGCAGGGATGAATGAACTCCAAGGACTTGTGATGGAGATCGTGATCACCTTTGGGCTCGTGTACACGGTCTACGCCACGGCCGCGGACCCGAAGAAAGGATCCCTTGGAACCATTGCGCCCATCGCAATTGGGTTCGTCGTGGGCGCCAACATCCTGGCCGCCGGCCCATTCAGCGGTGGATCCATGAACCCGGCCAGGTCCTTCGGCCCAGCTGTGGTCGCCGGAAACTTCGCTGGAAACTGGGTTTACTGGGCCGGCCCGCTCATTGGAGGTGGATTGGCTGGGCTTATCTACGGAGACATCTTCATTGGGTGCCACACTCCAGTCGCCACTTCCGACAGTTATGCTTAAAGGGAGATGGTGGATTTGGGCTTTCGCTTTGGCAATGTGACGTGTTTGGGGGCTTTTTGTTGTTGCCTTTTGGATTTGGGCCTGTGTTTGTGTATGGGCCAAAGTGGGAAGGAGAATGAGCCCGTGGTTGTTTGAATAAGGAAGTGTAAATTGTTTCTGGGTTCGTAATTGTACTTTCTTGGTTTCAAATATGAAATGGTTTGATCTTTAAATTACTCTTGCCTCTTTCTCCTGATGTTGGGTAATCACAAAAACAAGGTCCTACTGTCCGGTGAAATGAGATTGAATGGATAGTTTATGTTTTATTAACATTAATCATCGATAATAATCTGATCATCAGAAATTCACACTTCAAAAACAATCATCTGAACGACATAAATTCTTATTTAAAGTACAGAATTAGTAACTTTTAAGCTACGTATATAGTTTAATAAGCTACCCATTCCAACAAAGACACATAAAAACCTGTATCATGTCACAATTTTTTTTTTTTTGTTGTGCACTTGATTTAGGGCAAATTATATGAGTAGTTAATTTGCTCTTTGTTGCCATGTGAGAGCAATGATTCAGCCGGAGAGCTTGTGGGGAGGGCAGAATTATTACACTTGTGTGCTTTTGTTGCACACTTTTTTCTCCCATACAATGATTCATTCAATTAACAGCAACTACTCTAATTAAGTCTCTAAACTACTACTAATAGTCAAATGGGAAGCAAGCGGCTGCTGAAGTGAAGAGAGGAAAAGAAGCCACGAGTTGTGCATCATTAAGCTCCTCTTTGAGTTTTCGTTTGACCGGCCACCACCTTTTCCTCCATGCCACGGCACTCATGAGAGAGCTTTTCCTCCTCACCTTTTCTCGCAGATCTTGAGTTGGTATGTTTGTAATAGTCAGATCTGGTATGGATGTTCGATGTTGAATTATATACGATTTTGTGAAGATATAAGATAGAAAAGACAGGCTTTGTTTTCTTCAGGCGACCGATTCTATGGGCTCGACGGGATTTGATTATGAGGGTCACTTCGCTATGCTAAGATCATTAACAAAGAAGAGAGAGAATAAGCTTTGCCTTCTGCTACCCTAATCAAAATGTATTTAAATTAATTTTAACTCAAATGTCCATATATATACAAACGGTGTAGATAAGGTTAGAATTGGATAAGACATCTTGGTTAAGTATGCTATAACCTATAATAGATAGTTTCAAAAAAATCTTTTATCAACTTATAATTCCTCTATACCTAAAAGAAATCTCCTAATCATGCATTGTCATTATCAGTTTGATAAGATTTTTAAAAACGAGCCCCTATTGCTATCGTAAACCAAACCAACTTACAATCACACTTTTTTTTTTAAACATGAGTTCATTAGATAAACGATTGGGCCAAGCCCACAAAGGGAAGTGTACAAGCAAACCAGCAGATAAGGCATGAAAAGAAACCCAAAAAAAGATGCCCAAAAGAAAAACCCGAGAGCCCAATAGGGTTCAGGCCCAGAGCCAAAACAAATATGGGTCTCTCCAAACCCTAACCGCAATGTGCCCCCTCAAAGTCTCCTCCACCGCCGCGGCTGTGCTCCGCCCCGCACCTGACCCGTCGCCACCACCAATCCGAATCAAGTCATGGAACATGCAGTCATGCACCCATCCGACCCGGAAGGCGAGAATCGGAGGAGAACCACCACCAAACCTCCCTCCCAAGCCGAATGTCGAGCCCATCCCGCCGAGAACCACGAGAACCAAACAAACCCGACGGCAGGTGGAGAAGACAGAGGGTTAGAATACACCAGTCTTCGAGCTCTTCCACCCGGGTCCTCGCCAAAGGCTGCATCTCCGGATCGCCAAGACCTGCAAGGAGAAACAAGGAGGTAGACCAGAGGAGAGGAGAAGACTAGCTGGATCTGAAACAAATCCGACCTCCATCGCATCTAGAACCGGACATGCATCTTTAGATCTGGAAACCAGATCGAAGGACAAACCGTCAACCCACAAACGGGGGGCAAAAGGAACCCATCAAAGGGTGAAGAAATCGACCACAAAGAGGGGAAGAACGAACAAAGACTTGGATGGAAATCGAAAACCCGCAGAAAGGGAACAAGAGGAAAACCAAACAAAAGCATGAGAAGAAGCAAAGCAGGAAGAGCAAGGAGTGAAAGGGAGCGCGGAGGGCTGCCACCGGTCGCCAGAGGGACGCCGACGGCAGCCCCCTGGCTGCCAAGAAAACGAGTCTTCTAGAGAGAAGGCAGAGAAAAGGAAAAAAAGAGAGAGAAAGTTGATGTCTACTCCGCTTTCCGAACTTACAATCACACAAAGAGTGCATTTCTTACTGCTATTTGCATAATTTATTAGTGGTTTCACATACTATATAATCGTTTATCGTAATTACTCATAATATTCCTACATATTATTAGCAGTAAGTTGCCGTCATGAGTATTTTTATGATATATTCATACTTCTGAGTTCTAATTTCTGAACACGTGATAATGCCAAAAAAAAAAAAAAATCAGCACCCACCTTAGGGACATAAACCCAAAACTACAGACTGGCTTCGTCAAATCATGTTGTTAGGTCATCCTACATAAGTGTGTGGTGATCATAGTTCTGAACTAGTGTAAGCTGATAGCCCATATTCTTCGCGAAGAGATAAGGAATTGAACTACTAACCGAATATACAACAAAAATAAAGACCCCACTGTCTTTATTAGAGAAGGAAAAGCCAAGGGAAAGGGAAAATTCAACGAAAAATATGAAACTTGATATAGACTATTACCTTACCAAATAATAAAAAGAATTGATTCAAATAAAATCTGTCAATCTTATAATTATAGGATCAATTTGTTTTTATTGAGTACATTATTGTATCCATCGTACAACATTATGTGGAGAGGGCTAAATAAAGTCAGCCTTACCATTGATAGGGCCCTTCGTTGATTATGGGAAATTTTGGAAATGTGATATCAGCATGAAAACTGCCTGGGTCTGTCGGTTGGCCTCTATGCCAACTCCATTTTTTTTGCCATACTTATTTGCGGAGGGAAACAACATACATACGACAATATACAAGAGTTTTGCAGGCCAAACTATAAAATATAAGGAAGAAAAATATGATGGTTGAGAGGTGTCCGAAAACAAATAAGGTCCCAGAGGTTTCAATTTCGGTTTTGAACAATTGCCTAATTCGGGTTTCGATTTCCAATAATTTCCGGTTCCGTTAGTTTACCAAGTGAAAATTTTATTGATTTGAGTACATCATATTCGTTTGAAGTCAGGATTCAACTTAGTAGTAGGCCTATTAATTCCTTTGACCCACCAAGAGCATGATATGGTTATTTTTTGGGTTTTTTATCCTATCACTCCCCTGTAAAATATGCTTCAGTAAATTTCTTAAAAACCCCGTTAAACAAGATGATGTGGGTAAATGATTTATGGTTGATGTGCTATTTTGGCATAAAATAGGTTTAAAAGGAGCTAGGCCTAAGGTCTGTGTTGAGACTTTGCCTAGCGCCTAGCTCGCCTAGATATAGACTAAGCGTGATTAGGCGTTGGAAGAAAAATAGTTATTCGTACTACATGATGAATGAAATAATAATCTACAGCAATTCCTCACTTTAGTTTAAAAAAAAAGATTAATAACTTACTCAACATTTAATGACAAGAACATAGCTCACAAATTCATAGAAGCATAGCCCAATAACTCACAAAGTTCTTGAGCTATTGAAAAGATTGATATAGAAAATTGATTTTGTAGTTGACGTTATTTTTCTCCTTTAATATTGACTTCCTTGCTCCATCTAGTTATGTTTAGGAGAGACTTATATGTCACCTTACTTCATTGACATGTTTCGGTATCTAGCTAGGCGCGAAACCCCTAGGTGAGGAGTTTTGTCATTGCTTTGCGTCTAGACGTGCCTAAACGTAAGGTTAATCGTGACTTTTTGAAAATTCAATCATTATTTATAACTTATAAGTGAATTGATCAATACATCATATATATATTCGTTTGAAGTCAGGTTTTATCTTAGTATTAGGTCTATTGATTCCTTTGTCCCACCAAGAACATGATATGGTTCTTGAAATTATGACATCTAAAGTGATGTTTTATGAGAGCATGCATGTGAATGTAGTTGGGATGTAACATCAAGACCGCCCTAATTACCCACAAAACATGGCCATGGGGAGAGTTGCCCTGAAAACGCAAGGCTGTGCAATTGGAGAGCGACAGCCACTAATTAAGACGAAGAAGGGGAGGAAGGAAGGCGCAATATTGTGGCCCGAAGTGATATGAACTTCCACCGATAAGGGCATGCAACAAAGTTTTAATCTTCACACAATCAACAGCCAATTGAAGGCAGACAAATAGTTGAAAGGTGAGGATTGAATTCCTCGATTATGAATTCCATGGAATGAGACTCCTCGTCCTTTTTGTTTCTTAGGTTTTAGTCACAATCGTCATTGCCCTAAATGCCAAAACAACATATCTAGTGGTACTACATGTACGATCGAGGTAGAGATAACTATTGGATTTTGCGTTGCAGTTTTACTCCGTTGATGAAAAAGTTTTGTATTCGAGATAACATGATATTTCATGAAGAGTTTTATTGAGTGTTTTATAAATTTGGATGGATCGGTGCTTTTCACGACGGAGAAGCGTTTCAGATAAATTCAAGCTCTTTTTTTTCTAATCTCTTCCATTAGTTTATTTCTACTACGCTCTGCGCGAAGAGAATAGATCCATTACGCAATGCCCTGAATCCTGTATTATCCATTTTTCCATGATTGCTATCTTCATGTTCATTTTTTAACATTTTGTTACAACATTCATTGGTGCGATGGAAAGATCATGAGTGTGATCCTTGAACTCCAGCCGTGAACTCAAATCATGTCGTGGTCTTCAAGCTGCAACTGTAATCTTCCTGCTCCCTACCTAATACCTCTAGTCCTCTACGCTTTCACCAATTCGACCTCAGTTGTTCACCGGCACTTACACTTGTCGTCAAAACTTGTCAATATCGTAATACATAGAAGCAATCATAGACTAAAATTTGTGATATTTGAACTCAATCACATCGAATCGACTATGACAACACCTAACGAAGTATCGAAGTGTATAATCTAGTCGTTATTACTTTTCCTTATCTATTTTATTCCAATAGATCCTTTTGACAGCAATAATAAAAAAAAAAAGTTTCACAAATTGTTATGGATATTCTGTAGTGCCTTACCAATATGGAAACCCTACAACCTAGGTCAAATGGTCAATCATACAATGAGTGAGATGAATTCAATTCATTAAATAAAACACATGCAAATTGCAATCACTATATACCGATATTATTAGTATCATCCTTACAATAATAGATGGTCTCCAAATTATTTGAGACACATGAGTTCTTCTCATTTCACACCTCCTTTAGTCGAGGCCATAAATGGTGAGGTTGACGTCAATTTGTTTGATAAAGAACCAATTGAAAAGTACATTTACCAACAAATCAAAACCATATGTAATGTAGTTGGACTTGGACAGCATACCCACCGAAGATCTATAGCGAGAAACGAAAGAGTTTATGATGACTAGTAGCACTTAACGAACACTCGATTGATATAAAGAAACTAAAGGCAAAAGGTAAAGCAACAAAATGGGCAACTAAGGATGGTAAGCGTGGAACTACAAAAGGTAAAGCCTCAAAAAGTAAAAAGCCTAATAAGAATAACGTGAAAGGGAGAGAGGGATATCAGTTGGAAAAGAGTCAAAAGACACACACCCAGTTTTTTTTTTTTAGGGTTAATGTTTTCGTATGACCTGAACTTTGACCAAAATAAACATCCTGGCCAATCTTTTCGATCTATAACATCATGGCCCGAACTATACACCAAAATAAACAATTTGGCCAAATCCGATGTTTGATCGTTAACTTGGACGGTCAAACGCATTGACTAACGGTCAACGCGCCACGTCACTGCCAAGTCAGAAGATCTAATAAATATTTAATTTTTTTCGTTTTGTTATTTTTGGTTTAACTTAGGTATTAGATGATTTTTTTTAATTTATAATAATTTAAAATTAGGGAATGTGTGGAAATTGTGAAATATTTTAAATATTTTATGCTGACTTGGCAGTGACATGGCGCGTTGACTAACGGTCAACGCGTTTGACCGTCCAAGTTAACGGTCAAAAGTCGGATCTGGCCAAATTGTTTATTTTGGTGTATAGTTCGGGCCAGGATGTTATAGATCGAAAAGATTGGACAGGATGTTTATTTTGGTCAAAATTCAGGTCATACGAAAATATTAACCCTTTTTTTAACTCCCTTCTTTAGTTGTAAATTGTAATTGCTTGATAGTATTCTAGATTTGTTTTAGGGTTCGTCTGAAGAACGGATTTAGGACGTGGATTCATTGAATTCTTAGATTTTGTAGAAAGTTACATTTTTTTTTCCTTTCTATTGTGGATTTTACTTTTAGAGATTTTGAATCTCTACAATCTATGGATATCAAATCTCTCATAATTAGAGAGATTCTATATCTTGATTCGTGAGATATTTTTTCTCTTCCTTTTATTTATTTATCACATTAAATATATTTATCAATAAAATTTTTAATATTTCTCGAACAACTCTAATTTTTTATTAAGGTTAAGCATGCTATTTAATATAAAATTAATTTTTTTATTTTCATTAAAGGTTAACAATCACAGTTACCAAAAAATAAATATTTTAAAATTTGTTTTCAACAATCCGGAGAATTAAAATCTTTAGATTGTTAACAATTTATAGATTTAAATTCATATTCTCCAAACGACCCCCTAATGTATTTTGTATGAGTCATCGTGTCAAATAACTTGTTTGGCCATAAAGAATATTATGGATTATTTGAAACCTCTCGAATTATTTATAAATTATTTATTTTTTCTAAATTATTTTCCAATCATAATCCTGTCATTTTTTTTCTTCATAAGCTCAATAATATTTTTATTTTATTTTTTGTTTTAATACCTTCCAATTATTATTCAATTGTACTTCCAATGATTTTCCAGTAAATTAAAATAGTCTTTACTATTTTGGAGATGGGTTTCGACTATAAGCTGTGTAAGGTTGCAAAATGATTTAGTTTGGAAGCTTTAAACTTTATAAAGAAATTTAATAAAAAATGTTATTAAAATTAGAAATTAGTAACATGAAACTGAGTTCAAGTGAATCATGCAACAACCACTTAACAATTATACGAAGTTATGAACACTCAACTCGTAGAATGAGCAAGATAATCAACACCAATGCATATAACAAATATAAACACTCATTAAACATCAACAAATCAACATATTGCTTTTGTTTTGTTGAGAAAAGATAACTTGTTTTACCAAGAAATAATGAGATTCCAAAGAAAGGGGCGTTTAAATCACCATTTGGACTACCTTATTGTTTTGCCTGCCAACAAAACAAATTGTACCATTCCTCCCGTCTCAGGCACGAGCAACTATTGAACCTCTTGCAGTATTGCGCGCGCACACACACACACCCTTCCCCGATTATCCCGAGCTTCAAATTAGTTTGCTTTCTGAATGACGGCCTGAGCATCACCTCAAAGCACACTCAGTTAATCCCCACCCCTCGACAGTCGACACCAATGTATGGCGTCCCTCAAAGCCAAAAAATTTACCAGCATTAGGCAGTGACTGCCGCATACCCTGCCCCTCACGCCCGCAACACAACCCAATCCGCTCCTCGCAAAACTAGATCGACCGCGGAGGGTGATCCACTCTGCACTGCACCATCAAATGAGCAAATCCATGTTACATCTTATACCGCTTCCTCCCCTCCCCCTCCCCCTCCCTGCACCCGACTTCCTCCTGCATCAACAGTTGGGCCATCTACCCATTCTTTAATTTGCGGCTCAAATTAGCACTTTAGATAAGAAATCTGATACTAAATCAGTATATTACTTCAAAATGAATTTGAAGAACATAATTTTACAGATAAATTACTTAACTAGTTTTCGATTTATCGAGACCACCTCGGATTTTTTTAGTGAAATACTTCGAGGTGGAACAAATAGCAAATTGAAAAGAGAGAATCCTAAACCTAAAACCGTCCCTACCATCCATACCAAGCTAGCACATGCCCCATTGGCCGACTGGTGCCGCTTATGGCCCTCCCCTTCGCCTCCTGCCCTGCGCCCCCACACGCTTTCCCAGCCGGCCAGCCCTTCAACTCTATTATATGTGAAATCAAAATCAGATCCTGCAAAAAAAACCAGTTCATCTCCTCCCAACGCTCCCATATACTAATCCAACAAATACAATAGTATCATAAGCAACCATTCCTCCACTTTAGAAACAGTCCAAAAGAAGCAACAGTGGCCATAATTAATTCATGTTAGTAGCTAATCCAATCTATTTCTTCCCCCGTGTAGTGTTCTAGGGGAATGGGCTCATGTGCCTGCACATTAAGGAACAAACCCTCCTCTTATTTAGCATAATCTTGTCCTCCTGTTCCTTAATCTACCCCTCTTCTTTTGTTCTTTTTCGAGTCTCCCAAAGTTCTGGTCTTGCCTACAGTTCATAGGGTGATGTTACTTGCCTGATTTCAGGTGAAGCTTCCAACCTCTCCATGGATTCTCCCTCCATTTTTTAAATGCTGGTTGTCTCCTCTTTGGCCAATCCCCAGCTCCTTGCTTGCTCCACTTTCTCTGTGCATATATATAAAGACCCTGTCTTGAACAGTTGAACACCAAAAGCACTTGACAAACAGTTAAAAGACTCGAAACAGCAGTTTCTTCTCAGTACCTTTGTCTTTCTTCTGTTGGGTTGATTCTTTTTTCATAAGATGCATAGTGGGTTTCGTTCTTCTGATTGGAAGAAGAGCCCTTTGATGGAATACTTGGAGGAAGAAGAAGATCAGGATCAGCCAAAAGCTCCATTGATGCCTCATGCTGCAATCCCTCAGCCACAAACCCCAAGCGAGCCCATGGAGTTCCTATCCAGATCGTGGAGCCTCTCTGCTTCGGAGATCTCGAAAGCTATTGCCCAGAAGCAGAAGATGTTCCCCAATGCTCCCATGATCTCACTCCCTGCTGAAACAACCCTCACTGTCACTCCACCACTCGTAAGCTTCTCGTCCATTAGACCAACTTTTCTCCTCCGAAAACTGCATGCCAAACTACCCTTTTTGAGCAAAATGGAAGGATTTCTGTTGAATAGGCTTTTTTCTCTTTTTCTCTTTTTTGTTTTTGTTTCTTTGGGGCATTTTATCAGACAGGTAAGGTGCTAAATTCAACACACTCCAAGAGAACGGGAACGATTGGGAAATGGTTCCAATACCATAGCAGGGAGACGAGTACCGGCGGTGGAGGCAGCAGCAGCAGCGCGGCGGTGAGAAAGAAAGACAGGGCGAGAGTGGAGAACGCGAGGATGCACTCTGCGGTATCGGTGGCCGGGCTGGCGGCAGGGTTGGCCGCCGTGGCTGCAGCTGGAAATTCCGGTGGCGGCGGCGGCTCGAAGATGAGTGTGGCTTTAGCTTCTGCGACGGAGCTAATGGCCTCGTACTGCATAGAGCTAGCTGAGTCTGCCGGAGCTGATCACGAGCGAGTCGGCTCGGTGGTGAGATCGGCCGTCGATATTCGGAGTCCTGGCGATCTTGTTACGCTCACCGCTGCAGCTGCCACAGGTACTAAACAAATCCTTGGCCGGTTAATTACTTAAAATACCCACTGGGATGATTAACAAATTGATCAGTGAAGTTTCATTTTTTAACAAATTGATCACTGAAGTCTCAAAGTTTAGTGATTGTTTATGTATAATTCAGTAATTGACCATGGCATACAAGGTTTGAACTTCAGTCACTATGAAATTGCATCCATTCAACGATCAACTTCTTGAACTAGTATATGACCTGCTAGTTGTTCTTATAGCTTTAAGAGGAGAAGCGGCCCTGAAATCGAGATTGCCAAAGGAAGCAAGAAAAAACGCGGCGATTAGTCCTTACGATCGGGCAATGTCAGATGTTGATTCCACGTCAAGCTTGGTTTCGCAGTCGGAAGACCAGCAGCAACTGAGTCCAGCCTGTGATGGAGATCTTTTGCAGCACACTAGAAAAGGTTTGTCTCATTTTCTTCCACAGCTCCTTCTCCAAGTTTGTTCATAGACATATGAGTGCTCAGCTAATCCGGATGTCATCTGGATTACCCCATTTCCAGGAGCACTGAGATGGAAAAAGGTCTCTGTTCACATCAACAAGAAATCTCAGGTTGTAATCAAGATCAAAAGCAAACACGTCGGTGGAGCTTTCTCCAAGAACCAAAAAGGTCTGCAACTTTCTTTTCACTACTGTCTCTCCCTCCCTGTCTCTCTATCTCAGCATTCCTCTCCTCTTCTTCTTGTTGTTCCAACTCTGACCCTGTTTCTTCTTCTGATTGTGGGTTATGTCAGGGATTGTCTATGGAGTCTGTGACGAGACGACTGCATGGCCATACAGAAAAGAGAGGGAAAGTTCCGAAGAGCTCTACTTTGGAGTCAAAACTGCACAAGGCCTTCTGGAGTTCAAATGCAAGAGCAAGATTCAGAAGCAAAAATGGGTCGATGGGATTCAAACCCTGCTACGTCGAGTCAATAGCATGGAAGCAACTGAGAGATCTTTGGAGTTCTTGAACATAAACGACAGCATTTAGTCTCAGCTGCCACAGTTTTGTACATGAGAAACTCAACAACCGAACTTGTACTCTGGTCTGAAGTCAACTCACCATGTCAATAAATGTTGCAGAGATATGTGGAAAACAGAAAGGAAGCAATCTCTTTTGGTAAAATTTACCTCTAGTTTCTTTGTTCCTCTCTTCCCAACTCAAATTCTAAAACCAGACAATTACAACACAATTTACGGTTAGAGCATACATTAGACATCTCAAGCCAAGTCTTATTTGTTCTTGGCCCGAGTTCCGGACAAACAAATGAGAAACGAACAACAGAAACTCCTAAGGTCACAAAACTATGTATTTGCAGAAGTTCTAAAATCAATTTCCCATGTCGAATAAACGTAAGATGTACAACATTGTGGTTCACTGTTGCTTCTACTGGTTTGATGATCTATCACTGTAGATCATTGAATGAATGAGTTGATTGTACAGACAAAAGTAACTACCTTCTAACTGCAAGTATCCAGGCTTCTTTTTACCTCAAAAGACGACAGTCTTGTTATGCTCATAAGGCAACACTCTCAGTTCACAATAAGACTTTATAGCTTTGGCAAGGCATTGTTTTTCCAGGTTCTCTGATTTCTGAATGAAACTTCGAAGATTATCTCTGTGTGTGACTCTCTCAACCTGCATCCGTACATATTAGTAGAATATCATTTACAGGCTCAAGGTCATGTTGTAAAATGGTATTAACAAACAGTTCAGCAGCCATTAATACCATCTGTTCAATAATAGGCCCTGAATCAAGTTCTTCAGTGACAAAGTGAGATGTTGCACCAATTAATTTCACGCCTGCATCAAAAGCCTGCAGAGAACATGAAAGACATTAATTATGTGTCTGAGTTCTAGTCGTAAGTTTCTTAAAATGGTTCATTTCTCACCAGAAATGAGTTGAAGTTTTGAAACCAACCTGCTTAGAAGGGAATCCTCCTTTAAATGATGGCAGAAGTCCATGGTGAATATTAATTACATCTTTCCCATAGCTCCTTAAAAACTTACCAGATAATACCTGGAATCAGTTATTCTGAGTATGAGAACTTATTTTCCCGAATGTATCACAGAAGAGAGAAAAAAAAATTCCTTAATAGATCCAAACAAAGACACAAACGGCACACACAAATTCATTTACCTGCATGTACCTGGCAAGTACTAGGAAGTCAGTATTCTGGACCACTTTCAGAATCTCCTCCTCCCTTTTATTCTCGGTGCTTGTGTCCAAATAATGATAAGGGATCCCATTTCTTTCAAGGAAACGAATCACATGTGTATTTGGAGCTCTTTCATGGTTACTATTGCAGAAAGCACAAGGAACACACATGAGCATGTATCAAGTCAAAAGAACCTGTTAACAGTGGAGAAAGCTCTCAAAACTCAACCTAATTACACAAACTATGTCGACCGGAAGTTTTCCATCCTGCCATCCATGCAGCATATCAGTCAGACAATGTTCCTGCAACAAGTGAGAAACAATGGCTTATCATAACGGGTACACCCATACACTAGTTAAAACAATAGCAAACAGTAGTACACTACCTGTTTTGAAGCAAGAATGGCAATTTTGTACTTGGGGTCCAAATCGGGAACCCGGACAACAGATCTCGTTGCATTGAACGATCTAGATAGCTCCATGAAATCCTCTTCCATCTGTGCTCGCGGCCATTTAACATGGTCGAAAATGAACTCACTGCACGAGATTACAGGCATTCTTGACAATCATAACGACCAAAGGAAATACTAAGCTTGATAAAGAAATGTGCTTTCTGTCCAATAACGACAAACAAGAGCATCATTTGCTTCATATACCTATGATCTCAACCTCATCGAACCTGCCAATTTCTTAAGCTTCAATGTTACCAATCAAGCTATCCAAATCCCCAAACCCAGATAGAAGAGAGAACTAAAACCTACGCAATCCAAAGATAATATCTCAAATCTGCGTTTGAAAGAGATGAATCCCCCATAGATTCTTCAACCAACAAGCCCAACAACCGAAATGTTCTATCCGAATTCAAATGAAATCGGGGTTACCTTCTGGAATAGAAAACCTCTTTGTTCTCCGGCACGAAAACGTCAGCTCCGAGTATGTTCCCGCCTCTGGAAGCAATGCAATCCGAAAGCTTTGCGACGATACCACGAGCATCCTACGAACCGGCGGAAAACCCATTTCAAGTCGGATTCTGCAGATGTAATTGCTGCCGCGATAGAAAAAGAAGGCAAGTTGATGGAGAGGGTACCGGGCACTGGAAAACATGGACGCCATAGGTGATAGATGAAGAGTCGAGAGGCTCGCCAGGGAATCTGAAGGACTTGATTGACCTGCGACCGATCTCAGAAGTTGGGGAATGAAGGTCGGAGGAATCTTCTTCCTCCGTAGAATCGGACTCATTTTCTCGTTGTCTTTGTTTTCTCGTCTATTTCCCTTTTTGCGCGGCCAATCCGAGTTGGACCAGGAAGGAACCAAACCACATACGAATCGTGTTGAAGAGCTCAACTGCGTAACGGTTCGGTCCGGTCTGGATCGTATCAAACTAATGAGAATCGCGGTCCACCAGTGAAGGACACATCTTAGGACCAAAGGCAGGACCACCCTTGTATTCGGCCTATTTGGTCCAGAGTCCGATCCGGTTCAAATATTTTTTTTTTATGGTTAATCAAAATTTTCATTAAGCCCAGGCAGCTCAAGTGCCTCTCAAAACAAAACAAACTGTTTACAGATCAAACACAAAACACTACAATGAAACCCTATAAACAACCCAATCTGATCACACTAAGGCTCTTCTGTAAATCAAAGTCAATTTCCGCTCGCCATTTGAGTACTCTTCCAACTTCTCTGCAAAGAACACCCGGGGTTTTAACAGCCTTCACCCCATACAACCTTGCACAACGCTCCCGCCAGGTAAGACTGACAGCGAGACTCCAAACAGCGCGACAAACAACTGCTGCAGCACTCTTCCCTTTCCACTTACTGGCACACCAGTCGACCACCACCTCCCATGTATCCAGGCCACTAACAGGAGCCAGAGACGCCACACAGCTTGCAACAATGGCCTGCATAAAAGGACAAGCATAGAAAATGTGATAACAGGTCTCAATCCCCCCTGGGCACAACACACAGTATCCTGAGACAGGTTTCCCCCATTCAAGTAGTTTGTCCTGAGTACGCAATCTGCCCATAATGGCTAACCAGAGAATAATGCCATGTCGAGGAACCACCTCCTTACTCCAGACCAGCTCATACCAACTTACAGGTGAGTCGTGCAATCTGAGGGAGTCCCATACCCTTTTTACAGAATACCGAGCCATAGGCTCACCATCCCAGAGATTGAGATCCCCCTGATTCGAGACATATTGCTGGATATCATTTCGACACCTTAGTAACCGTTTCCAGACCCAGGAGCCAGCTGCTCCCTCCTTTAGATCCCAAAACGACTGCTGCTTGATTCGATAACGCCGCACCCATGCCACCCAACATTCCACACATGCCTTACCACACATGCCTTATTCCAAATCACAAAATTCCAAATCCCCAGACCCCCTTCCTTCGTCGGGCGAGCAACAACTTTCCAGGCAACCAGTGCTCTAGTTCTCAAACTAGCATCAGTGACATCCCAAAGAAACTAGTTGCATATTCTCTCAACTTCAGAGATAACATACTTCGGAAGTAGAAATATGTTCATCCAATACTGCAACACACTAGACAAAACCGAGCTGATAAGTTGTACTCTACCCGCAAAACTCAACAGTTTAGCCCTCCAGCTCTGGACTCTATGAGTTATCTTATCCACCAAGACCTTAAAATCTCTTCTAGATAGTTTGCTAGTGATAAGAGGGACTCCTAGATACTTCACAGGCAGCTGACCTAAAGGGAACCCTGAATAGACAGAAATGGACTGCTTTTCCTCCTCTGGGATACCTGCACAGAATAGCTTGCATTTTGCAAGGTTGCAACGAAGACCAGATAAAGAGTAAAACTCTTCCATCATTCTAATAATGCCTGCCACCCCACGAATTGACCCATTTGTAAACACTAATAAATCATCGGCGAAACAAAGGTGAGTTATGGCTAGGGGTTTGCAACGAGGATGGTAGGGAATTTGATTATCACGAACAACTCTCTTCATTAACCCATCCAAAACTTCCATAGCAACCGTAAACAAATAAGGGGACAATGGGTCACCCTGCCTTAACCCTTTTTCATTCCAAAGAAACCACATAAACCACCATTAAGAGAGACACTGATCATAGGGGTGCAAACACAGGCTCTTAGCAAATTTATAAATTTCCCTTGTAAACCCATAGCAGTCAAGACATCAAACAGAAACTCCCAATTGACAGAGTCAAAAGCCTTCATGAGATCTATTTTTACCACACATCGAGAACTGATAGACTTCAATTGATAACCCTTAACCAGCTCAGAAGCAAGAAGAATATTATCAGTTATAGACCTACCTTTTATAAAAGCAGACTGTGAATGACTCACCAGGGAAGGTAGGATAGCAGCCAGGCGATTAGCTAAAATCTTAGCTATCCCTTTGTACAATGTATTGCAGCATGAGATGGGTCGAAAGTCCTTCATAAGCATAGCATTCTGCACCTTAGCAACAAGGGTAAACACTGTAGTATTAATCTTCCGAGGCATATGCTCAGACTGATAAAACTGTGAAACAATGGCGTTTATATCAGCTTTGATCAGATCCCAGTGGAGTAGAAAAAATTCAATTGGAAAACCATCTGGGCCAGGCGCCTTATCTCTACCCAACTGTTTAAACACTTGATAGATTTCATCCTCTGTGATTTCTCTGTTAAGCATCAGATTGGCAGAATCAGTAGCCTTGTTAGTCAAAATAGACTCATAGAATACCACAGAAGCTTTCTTGACATTTGGATCAACCACACCAATCAACTGAGTATAAAAATCCACAGCTACCTTCCCCATTTGAAACACATCAGTAACAACATCACCATTTTCATCCTTTAGAGCAGTAATTTGCTGTTTATGAGTTCTAATTCTTAATGCTTTATGAAAGAAGGGGGTGTTCATATCCCCTGTCTGGACCCACTGAGCTCGAGACTTCTGTTTATAAAACAACTCCTCAGCCCTTTGAACTTCCTGACACTCTTTAGCTAACACTGCCTCAGCTTCAACATTTTATGCATTTGGGTTCAGCAAAACCTCTACATGTAAGCTCTCCAGGCGCCTCTCCAGCTCCCTAGCTTTCCCTGATATATCCCAATGACCTCTTTATTGAGCTTTTTCAACCTATTTTTCAACTCTGTCAGCTTCCCATAGAACTGGTAGTAAGGATAGCCATTATGCGAAGTACTCCATGCTTTAGCGACCATAGCCAGATAGCCTGGATGAGAGCTCCAAAACTTGAAGTATTTAAATGGTTTGGGGAGCGTTGCCAGCTTAGGGAAAGGTTGAAGTACCAATCCACAGTGATCTGAAACTCCTTGTGGGGTAGTATGAGCTGTACTAGAGTTAAAACCATCGAGCCAAGCCTCATTCACCAAAATCCTATCAATTCTCTTAGCAATGGGGTTATTTTTCTGCTTGTTCCACCAAGTAAACCAGGATCCTAATACCTTGTGATCCATCAACTGCATCTCAGCAATCCACCCACGAAAATCCTTCATGCTTTGACTTATGTCCACTGTATTGGAAGAATCTGTTACTTCAGCGATAGCATTAAAGTCTCCCATCACTGCCAGAGGCAGAGGCAATGTAAGCTCCCTGTGCACCAGTAATTCCTTATACAAGCTTTGTCGATCCTGTTCCCCATTAGGACTATACACGAACATTATGTAAGCAGGATTCAAACCAGCCACTAGAATCTTAATAAAATGCTCTCCTTCATCAACTTTTGTTATTTGCAGACTTGACTTCCAGAAGAGCCACACCCGACCAGAATTGGATTTGCTATGATTCCCTACAAAAGACCATTCTGAAAACTTATTTACTATCTGACTACTATTATTCTCCACTATTCTTGTCTCTAGTATAGCCGCTATGTCAATATTCAGCTGCCTTAGCTTTCGAAGAACAGCTGAGTGTTTATCAGAGGTATTAAAACCTCTGATATTCCAGCTCAAAATCTTCATTTCCCACGTTTCTTACCCCTACCTCTTCCCCTGGTTGGAGGTGGAGGAGGAGGAGCTTTAGAAACTGAATTGGACTGCTGCAATGGTGGAAAATTAGTCGCGTCCAAGAAAGGTTGCCTGCGGCCCCCAACAGTCATTGCCTGAGTAGATTTTTTCTTCCTATTTTCCACCAGCTTAAACCCATCCGCATCTACAACAGGCAGCACAGTACTCATCGGAGGAGTACTTACACTAGCAGAAGACATAGCTCCAGGAGAAGGTAGAACAGTCCCCTGACTCACACCAGAACCACTAGAATCTTCAACACTCTGAACCACCTCTTTACCCTTATCCACACTTGTAGGGTGTAATGCTCCCTCCACAACCTTCTTGACTCTCCATTCCTTCACTGGAGCCCCTCAGGAACAGCACAATCATGACCAAATTCGCCACACTTAGCACAAAGAATAGGAAGATTGCAATATTCCAAATTCACCCACAAAGCATTCATCCCATCAGGCTTCAAGTCGAGCTTAGTGATTCGCTTTGCCCGTGCCAAAATTTCAACACAGACTTTCGCTATTCCAAGCTTTGTCCCCCTTCTCGTAGGAATATCCATACACAGAGGGCGCCCAATCGAACTAGCAATCCTACCCAGGCCTTCCTTATTCGCAAACTCCGTCGGAAGATTAGTGATCCTTACCCACACCGGAATTTTTGAGTTGTCGATCGCAAGAGGCTGAATGCCTGGCTCCCACTTCCTCAGAAACAACATATTATCCCTATGATGCCATGGACCGCCCTCGAATACCCACTGACAAATTTCAGCCGACGAAAACTGGAATAGGACAAGCTTGTCACCAAGCTTCGATGTACGCACTTCTCCGTCTCTTCTCCATAACCAATTGGCCCAGAATCTGATAGCAGCGATTGAAGCAGGATGCCCTAAAAATTGCCCAACGAGATTGTGAGCCCAGCGCTTCGATCCTTCTTCAATCACCGACCTCGGAATCCTTAGCGCTCCATCGATGAATTCAAGTTCATAGTAATCAAGCCTACTATCCGACGCAATCCCAAAAAGCGAAACCCAAGGGCTACCTCCACCGACGGCTCCCGATGGGGCACCGTCAGCGGCGGCCTCCATCGAAATTGATGTAAACCCTAATTCAGAGGAGAAAGATGAGAGAGGAAAAGGAGAGAGAGAGAGAGTCCTTGAGCAAAGCTTAAAAGTGGAGAGAGTCCAAATATCTATTCGGCCCATCATTTTTTCAGTAATTATAAAATTCATGATTACCAAGGACTAGACCGCATTATACTCGGTTAGATCTAAGTCCCGACCCAATCCGTGTTCCAACTATTAGTATGAGTTCGTCTAGAAAAAATATTTATGGCGTATATAGCCATACTTATAAGAAAATTAAGATATTTTGCCATGTTTTTCTCCCATGGTCTCACTAATCTAATGCATTCATCGGCTTAAAATTTAGACATAGATTTAATATAGCTATGATTCACGTAATCCTTTTTCTTGTGTACAATTTTAATAGAATAACATATTATGGATGCGTTTGTTTATAACCTTTTTAGCCTGTTTAAACAAATATTGTGAAAAAAACTAGAAAAGTAAATTATATTTTATTAAAATTAAAACAACATTTGTGAATTTCGATACCTTTCACCTCTGTTTATTCGCTTTTGAAATTTTAATTAGTTATACAAACATTTTTATGTATAAAATACATACGGGTATTTTACTTCGTCTCTAAATTAATGTTATGTTTAATAGTACGTTAATAATCATAAATATATAAATAAATAATAGTAAAGTTAACAGTTTAATTCATTAAATACGGATTATAACGTTTTATACGGGTTTAGTACGGGAGCCGTCAAATAAACGGAAAAAAATGAAACACCTTGATAATAATATAGATACGGAAGTTTTAAACGGATAAAATACGTACGGGTACATATACATGTATTAAACATATTATTACTCATGTACACCCCTACAACCACGTACACATTCAAAAGTGAATCCAGATTAGATTCATACGTATGTGTTGAGTTTTGAACGAAAACTCGAATTTCATTGATGGAGACAATACATATATAATTACAATCTCGTCGGATTATGAATCACTTCCTCTCCCTTCTCTTTTCTCGTCTACAAACCCTAGCCTCCTTGTACACTCTCCCCGGCCGACAAAAATACCCCTTCTCCGGCGCACAATGCACGTCCTCCCGACAAACACACAGCCCATCCAACGCGCAACCACTCCCCAATTGGCCCGGCCCATCTTCCCCAAGCCCAAGAACATAATCCGTCCACTCGCTCGAAAACAGGCCCAACGGATCGTAATCCTCCCTCACCCGCAAAAACCTCGCCCCTCCGTCCCCGTACTTGGAAATCACGCCCTCGAACGCCACCCTCCGGTTCTTCGCCCAATGCGGCGTCGCATTGTACCTGAACAGCGCCATCTGCTCGATCTCCTCCATGGCGTCCTCGTGCAGCCGCGGGGCCAGCGGGTCCCGGCTCCGGTAGTAGCTGAAGTCGAACCCGACCGCGTCCTCGGTCTTGCCCAGGTACGCGGTCGAACCCTTGTGGAACCGGACCAGGATCCCGTTGTACTCGTCCACGGCGCAGACGGACTTTGGGTTTTTCGCGACGAGCCTCTGGACGTCGCGGATGAAGCCGGCGACCAGCGGGAGGCTGATGGTGAATGTGGTCTGGTGGAAGAACGCGCCGTCGATCCGCGGGTCCCACGAGCAGCTGGTTTTGAGGTTGTCCTCTGGGCTGAAGAAGCAGCTCCCGCTGGCTTGGAGCTTGTGGTGGTACCCGATGATTGGGTATCCTGTAAAGTTCTTACCTGTGCATCATGACAAACAAATAAAAAAAAATTATTGATTTCAATAATTCGAATTGTTGCGAGTAATGTAGTGAAAAATGTGTTTTGAAGTTTGAAAGTTTATGCTTTTACATTTCTAGTTTGGGTTAATACCCTCGTTTGGCACGAAGTATAGCGTTAGTGACATTTCTGGCTCAAGTTTTCAAATAAGACATCTCTGGCCCACTTTTCAAATTATCGGACGAATTTGGCCTATGGGACGGGTTGACTGTCAGATTTGACGGTCAACAATATTCTCCGTTGCTGACTCAGCATTGGACTCTGACGTGGCTTGTCCACATCATTTACAAATTAAATAAAATAAAACAAATAATAATAACAAATGAAAAAACTGAATTACAGAGAAGGGGTCACGTGGACCACTAGCTCTTCCCCTTATTCACTCCATCGTTTCTCCTTCCCCCAGTCGTTCCCGAGCGGCCGACGATTCTTCCGCCTCTCCTTCTTCTTCGCCAGCTCCAATCATCACCGCCCTCCCCTTGGATCAACCGCCAAGTACTGACCAGGAACTATCCTCCTGCATCTGGACTTCCCAAATGTCTCCGGGTGAACTTTATCAAACACACTCTTCTCCTTGTTGTACTTCAAAATCACAATCCTCCCGGAATCGGAACCAACGACGATTTAATCCTTCTGGGATCCAGTAAGTCTGAATTGAGCCAAAGAGCGAATAACAGCGAATATTTTGATGAAAAGAATGATTTGGAGCCTACCGGTGTCGTCGGGACGGAGGAGATCGAGAAGCTTTCCCTGCGCATTGATGATCTTTTGGAACTTCCTGCCAGAGAAGCTTTCGTTAATGGCAGCCACCACACCGATGGGTCGCTGAGGTGTTATTCGGTGGGCAAGTGGAAGAAAATGGGAGGGGTGGGTGTTGATTTGTTATTTCATCGAGCTGGAAATCGACTCGTTCGCCGGGAGCGGGGCGGAAACCTCGTCGGCGGCGAGGGACGACGAAGACGAGCTGATTCTGGAAGCAATCGCCAGGCTTCCGTCGGAGAAGCGGGACAGGTACGCGGTGCTGAGGAGGACGCCTTCGGAAGCGCAATTGGGGAACGGTCAGCTGACCGAGACCATCGATTTGCATAAATTGATAAAGACGGACAGAGAGCTGCTGGTGAAGAAGGCTCTGGCGACCAATTCGCAGGACAATTTCAAGCTGCTTTCGGCGATCAAGAGCCGGCTGGATCGGGTCGGGATCGAGGTGACGACGGTGGAGGTGAAAAGGTGGAGCGGCCGATGGATGCGGAGGGAAAGGTTTGAATGGGTTTGTGGACCACCTCACGGATTGGATCCGGTCCGGGAAGATGATTGATTGATGGGCGGCGGAGTTGTTCGGGGAAGGGGATACGAGGGGGTTGGGTTCACAGGAGGAAGAAGGGGGAATGAAAGAGATGGGTAGTGTGTGGTGGACCTGGTCTCCACCTTTCCCTTTTAGGTTTGTTTTTTTTATTATTTTTTTTTAACTTACTGACTTGAAATGTTCATAAAAAGGGAAATAAAAATAAATGACGTGGACAAGCCACGTCAGAGTCCAATGCTGAGTCAGCAACGGAGAACATTGTTGACCGTCAAATCTGACAGTCAACCCGTCCCATAGGCCAAATTCGTCCGATAATTTGAAAAGTGGGCCAGAGATGTCTTATTTGAAAACTTGGGCCAGAAATGTCACTAACGCTATACTTCGTGCCAAACGAGGGTATTAACCCTTCTAGTTTACCCTAATGTTTTTACGTAAAATCGTATTTCTCTTAATAACGGGTCTACATTGAGTTTGAAAGTTTACGCATTTACGCTTCTAGACCGCAAAAATGTCTACATTCGGCAACTACTGGCGCGAGATTGGGTCGTCTCGCTTGGTCATGTGTTCAGAGAAGCAAATTTCACAGCGGACCATTTAGCTTCGGTGGGTCACACCCTACCTGTGGGAGTGCATTTGATTAGCAACCCGAGTTCTACCTTGCGGTACTGGTTGTATTTTGACTCTATTGGGGTTCAGACCCCGCGTTCTATTATTATTTAAGGGTTAGAGCGCCCCTTTGCGCTCTGTTTCTCACCCAAAAAAAAATGCTTCTGCGTGAAATTGCACTTTTGACTTGATTGGTTGTGTGAAATTCAATCATGAATCTTATACTATTTATTAATAGTTTGAACAACTCCATCTCATGATAGTTATAAGTGTAACAGAGTGGTATAAGATCCATAATTAATATTTTTTTCAAAAACTCTAATTATTGGAACCACACGATAGTTATAAGTGTAACAGAGTGGTATAAGATCCATAATTAATATTTTTTTCAAAAACTCTAATTATTGGAACCAGTTGATTTATAAATGGGTTAATACCTTATTTTGGCCTGAACTATGACCATACAATCAACTTTGGCACGTGGTTTCAGAAATTAACATCCTGGCCTCAACTATGCAACATATAGACTAAATTAGCCCGACACATGCTTTGACCGTCAATTTGGCGTGTTGACCGTTAGTCAACACGCCATGTTAATGCATAGTCAGCCTAAAAATCATAAAAAATTGAAATTCAAATGATTTTTCTAATTATTATTATTTATTATTTTGAGATTAATCAAAAATTAAAATTTTAAAATATAAAAAAAAACTGTATGTTTTATCTTTTGGGACATTTGAAAATGGTAAATTTTAAAAAATATATATATTTACATTTTATTTTTGGGTAATTTAAAAAATCTATAATATTTTGATAATTTATAAAATGTTTCATTTTAAAATTATCAAAAAAGAAAATATAAAAATTATTTTATGTTTTTATAAATTATTTTTTAATTTGATAATAATAAATAATAATAACTAAAAAATAATTTGAATTATAAAATTTATTTTTGGTTTATGTTTTTTATATTTCCTACATTTATAAAATTTAATTTAATAATTTTTTAAAATTTATAAAATTATCATTTTCAAATGTCCCAAAAGATAAAACATAAAATTTATTATATATTTTTTGAATTTTAATTTTTGGTTAATTTCAAAATGATAAATAATAATAATTAGAAAAATAATTTTAATTTTAATTTTTAAATGATTTTTAGGCTGACTAGGCAATGACATGGCATGTTGACTAACGGTCAATGGTGTTGACCGTCCAAATTGACGGTCAAAGCATGTGTCGGGCTAATTTAGCCTATATACTGCATAGTTGAGGCTAGGATGTTAATTTCTGAAACCACGTGCCAAAGTTAATTATATGATCATAGTTCGGGCCAAAATAAGGTATTAACACTTTATAAATAGTATAAGAACGATTATATGCTTGAATTTACATGTTCAAATCTTCACGACCCAAAATATTAACTTAAAACAAAATATATGATATAACCGACTTGTACAAAGTTCAAATTCATAAATTAAATTTCATTAAAAGAAACAAGCAATCAACTGATTCTCGACAATACGCACCGTTGTTGGTGAATCCATAGGCGGAGTTGTAATACAAGGGGAGGACGTCCTTTGCAAGGGCGCACCTCTTTGCAGCATCCTCCTTGGCCTCGATCTTCTCCTCTAGAATTGCAGCGACACATTATTGGCGATGGTGAAACAGTACTGATCTAACTTTTTTTTGGGGGGGGGGGGGGGGGGGGGGGGGGGTTTATTCTTACCCGTAGCTCTGCTAGAAATTGAAGAAGACGAAAGGGCCCTGCGCATGGGGAAGAAGTCGTACGCGCCATCGCCGGGCACTTGGAGAGGAGCCCGATCGTCGTTCCGGTAAACTGCTCTGTGTTGATAGGGGTACCACGATATGTCGGCGAACTCGTGTTTCCGACCAAACGAAATTGCCCGGTGCGCCAGGTCTGTGTCGCTTCTCTTGCGGAAGCTGATTGAACGCTTGAACAACGGCTCCACTTTTAGAGTTATCTGCAAATTGTCAAATTGGGATGGTCGAGTTGAGTAATGATATCAACTGGAAAATATACATAATCAAATCCAAGTTTGAGGTGTAATAACATGAAAGGATGTTGTTAAATCAAGAGGTCAAAGTGGTTAATTCTTCATCGGTGTTAAGAAAAGTAGGGATAGAGAAGAATGTGATTCTTGTCATATTAGTAGTCGGTCTAGTCGTTCAACATTCTAATCAGAACTAATTTGGATAGTATGAGTATGTTTGACAATGATTCTATCTTTTTTTTTTTTACTTCTCATTTGCGAAAATTAAATAAATTATAATAAAACCTTAATAAAATCATGATTTTGTCTTTAGTACACTCTTTTTTTTAGCGCATCATGTGCACTCGCCTCATAATTGTCATTATGAGCAGACGATTCATGTCAAAATGATATCATTTGTCACTTGTGATATGATGGACAAGAAAATACATGAATTTGCACAAAAGTAATTCAAATTCACTTTTATTTGAATTATTTAGGGTTTAGGAATTTAGTGTTAGGGTTTAGAATTTATAATTTGGGGGTTTAGGGTAAGGATTCAAAACTGAAGGATTAGGGTTTAGGATAATGAATCGATTAGTTATGATTTTATATATGTTATATCATCATATTATACCGAGGAGATCAATTAAAATTTGATGTTTTAAAACAACTTTCAAAGTTGGGTACATATAGTAGTATGCACTTTTTTTTTTGTAATTACATCATAGAGCCACCTTTTTATGCGACTTATCATCATTTTCTCTTTACTTTTTTACTCATTTATTTATTTCGATTTTCGCGTTCACTCGTCATTTAGGTATCGTTTGCTTGTGGGATTTGGGTGATGGATTTGGTACCCAAATCCCAAGCATAATGGAATTGGCACAAGTCCATTGTTTGCTAAGGGACACAAATCCATGGGGCCCACGGATTTGGACCCATTTTTTAGATCCAAATCCGTGGACCCCACGGATTTGCAAATCCCACATTTCATTTGGGATAATGGAAGGCAAAATGTGAACAAATCCATCATGAATTTATGACAAAAATAAAATACACAAACAATGTACTCTTCCAAATCCATAATGCAACAAATCCATCATAAATCCAAAGATTTTGAAAACTCAAACCCCTCATTTTCAAATCCAACAAGCAAACGAGCCCTAATTAGTATGGTGAGCTGGGGAACAGGTAATGATATCCCATTTCATATCAAATCGATTATGTCATAGATAACAAGATAAATTCATCAATTCGATATAGAAAACAGAATCACCTAAGTAACAACAACCATGAGTAAAAAAAGTAAATACAATATATTAGCCACAACTATTATGAAGCGGGGAATTACAGCCACAACTATGAAAATTCAAATTATTAGCCAAATGTTAAATCTCTGTTAACAATTCCGTTAGTAATGCTGACTAAACTTTTATGTTTTAATGTTATAAATTAAAAACAGCCCGACGTGGTTGCTGCCGTGGCCGATGATGTTGCCTTCTCCATTAAAAATTCAGTAATAGTAATGGACAGTTAGCCGTATCTTGACCCGCAACAATATTTATGGTTAATAATTTGAATTTACATAATTGTGACTATAATTCCCCACTTCATAATAGTTGCTGCTAGTATATTGTATTTAAAAAAAAAATTACGTACCTTACTAATAACTCCAAGAACTCCAAGGGAAACCCTGGCAGCATCAAGCTCCTCGTCTTCCTCCGTCAACTGCCTCACCTTAACGTAACCCTCTCCCTTCTTCCCGGGGCTAACAATCGTCACGCCCACGACATAATCACTGGGCGCGCCACCTTTCGCCATAAACGTGCTCCCGTGCGCGTGCGTGCTAATCATCCCGCCAACGGTCAGCGCCCTCAAGTACGGCGTGTGGGCCAGCGCCAGCCCGGCCCGGGCCAGCGCGTCGTAGAGCTGCCCGGTCAGGACCCCGCTCTGGACCGTGGCGGTCAGGCCGACCGGGTCGATCTCGAGGATCCGGTCGAGCTTCTTCGTGCTGATGAGCAGCCCGTCGGTCCCGTCCGGGCAGACCAGCTTGGGCATGCTGTGGGAGAACCGGGTGGTCACTTTCATCTTGCGCCGGGCTCGCGTGCCGTTTGCCACGACGGAGATCAGCTCGGCCTCCGTGGCCGGGTAGGCGACCGAACCGGCCCGGCAGATGGACCGGTCCGATGTGAAGTTGCCGTAGGAGTTGGTGACGGTGCAGTTGGTGTTGTGGGACGTGCATTTCACGGGTGGCTCCGGCGGGCTGGAGCTTCCCGGCGGTGTCAATGTGGTGATTGTGAAAAGGATGGTGCATATTGCCAATGTAGAGGCTAATTGAGTGCCCATTTTGTTCATTAAAAGAAGAGTTTCCCATCTATTTTCTTTAAATTCTTATTATGAAGGTTAGGTTTGTAACTCTCAACATATTTTTTTCCCTAAAAAAAAAAACTCTCAACATATTTTTTAATGAATGTGGTAGGAGTTTTTTTTTTGTCGTGAGAGATTCGACATGTTTTTGTGCTTGAAAATCGAATAAGTTATAATTGAGTTTGTAACTGATCTAATGATTTTTCATGTACATAATAGTTACGAATTTCATACTAAATGATGTAGATAATTAGATATGCTACAAATAAAGCTTTATTAAATTAGTACTATGTAGTTATATTAAGTGCACAGTGGAGAAGTTGGGTTGAAATTAGAAGGGATATAGTCTCACTCAAATTGAGAATATAACTAAAATTATATGTGAAATTCGTAACAAATTTAGAAAATAGAGTAGTTGATAAGACCTTAGCCCCCTCGCTCAATTATCACGGTTCAATTCAACTCTCCTCGGTCAAATTCCTGGACGCATCACTGTTAAGGGATGGACAATAATGGGTGGGTTGGATGAGTTTCGATTTCAAATTGAATCATCCACTTATTAACGAGTTGATTCAATTGTAACTCTCGCTATACATCCACATTTTTCTTTGGACTGTGTTGAATAGGTGGTGAATAGATGCGGTTGGGTTGTGGGTTAGTCCCAAAAGCAATTACTTGACTAACAATTAGACAAGTTAACTAATATTTATAATATGGTAAATACAATATATTAGTCATAACTATTAAGCAGCGGGGAATTATAGTCACAATTATCGAAATACAAATTATTAGCCATAACTCGCCAGACTCGCCGCCACCAAACACCCTGCCGCCAACCACCACAACCGCTCCTCCTCCCCTGATGACTACGCCTCTTTTGTATCGTCTGATTCCCTCTCTTCCTTCCGCGACGACCCTCTCGCCGCCTCAAGCGGCCAGCTTATTGTCGTCGTGGAGAGCCAGTATCGCGTGGTTTATCGCCTCGTTAATGGGATCTACGTCCTCAAAATCACGATCGCCGATCAAGACAACTCCGTCAACGTCTTCGAATGCAAAACAAGTATGTGCAAAACAATTTGATTCACAATCCATCTACACCAATCATCCACCACACTAATTTTAGTATTTATTGGCAGATTGATATCAAACCACATGTTAACACGCCCTCCCTAGCAATTCCTCTGTATGACTAGTTTGAGCTTATTTATAGGCCAGGTAGGTGGACAAACTTGTATAGGATTAGTTCGTATATTTACAATAGTACAGGTCCCAAATCCCAATACGTAATTAAACAATAAGGTTGTTACAAGTTGGTTAGATCAGACGAGATACGATATATGTAATATCGTGATGAGAATACGATATTTTAGCGTTAAGTTAACGCTGGAGATATATTGAATTAGACGTCGGTGGTGACACGTGTTGGCATCGCACAGGATCCATTACTCCAGTTCACTAATAACGGTTGCAGCCGATCATTTCCTTTCCTTTCCAGCGGAATTTGCAAACCTCTCTGCTTCGCCGTCTCATTGGAGATCAGAAAATAAGCTCAGAGATAGGAAAGAGGGGAATCTACTCATTAGAGAAAACCAGAGGGAAGCAGAGATCTAGATCCGTCCAATTTCCCGGCGTTCTGGATTCCCGCCGTCGACGAAATGTCTTGCCTCGCTCTCTCTCTGCAACCGGCCAATGGATCCGACATTCTGATCCAAACCAGAGAATGGTTCCCTCCGGCGCGAGCCCTAGTCGCAACCTCCGCCTTCCGCCAGACTCGCCTGGCCTTCGCCGCCACTAAACACCCCGCCGCCAACCACCACAACCGCTCCTCCTCCGCCGATGACTACGCCTCTTCTGTATCGTCCGATTCCCTCTCTTCCCTCGGCGACGACCCTCTCGCCGCCTCAAGCGGCCAGCTTATTGTCGGCGTGGAGAGCCAGTATCGCGTGGTTTACCGCCTCGTCAATGGGATCTACGTCCTCGGGATCACGATCGCCGACCACGACAACTCCGTCAACGTCTTCGAGTGCATCCACATCGTCAACCAAGCTGTAAGCGTAATCGTCTCGGCCTGCCGCGGCGTCGACGTCACGCCGGAGAAGCTGAGCCGGAAGTACGCCGAGATCTACATGGCGCTGGACATCGTCCTCCGAGGAGTGAGCAGCATCCGGTTGGCGGCTATGCTGGCTTCGATGCACGGCGAGAGCATCGCGAAAATGGTCCATTCTGCGCTGGACACGGAGAGCAAGGTTCGCGGTGGGGACAGCTGGCTTGCGGTGGAAGGTCACGCGATTGAGCACGAGGGAAGCGTGGAAGCGTTCTCCAATGCAATGTTTGAGTTACCACCGGAGACACTCGCTGCCGGAGATGAAGTAGCGGCCAGCCTTGCCCCTGCGGTTGTGGAGCAATTGGAGAAGAAGGAAGAGAAAGAGGAAGAGAAGGATGTACCAAAAGATCCTTTTGCCGCGAGTGAGGCGGTAAACAAACAGGAAGATCTTGCTGGTGAGTTCAAGAAGGATAAGAGCCAGGCTAGCGATTTGACACTTGCTTTGGCTGGGCTGGAGGTTACGACATTACCACCTGCTGAAGCTACGCAAGCTACTCGTATTGCTGTGGAGGGGTTCGAAGGGGATTATGGTGGAATTGAGTTCAGCAATGAACAGACTTCCCTGGGAGAGACGTTTGAAGGGTTTAGTGAAGCTTGGGGTGGTGGATTAGATGCATCAGAATTCGTAGGCACAAAGAAAATTCCAAAGCAGCAAGGTCTCGGTGGATTGGAATTGCTTCAAACAGGTGCTGATCCTGCCGTGGCAGCAAAGGCTGCTGCAGCTGGAGGTGGAGATACTCCTCTTGAGAATCTCTTGGTCCATAAAACCGAAATGAAGGGACCCGAAATGTACATCGTTGAAGAAATTAGTGCTGAATTTAGAGAATCACTGCTTGCTAGAGTTGGGTTGATGGGTGTAGTTTATTTGAAAACATTACCAACCAAACAGGCTGGCGAAAAAGAAACAGAGTTTTCGTTCCAGGTTGACAACACAAAACCTGTCAAGCGGTTTGTTATGCACAGTTCAAAGATCAGTAGCCTTGGTAATGGAATGTTTCATGTTAGGACTGCTGCCTCAGATGAACCTATACCGATGTTGAAGTATAGTTTGTTGCCTAAGTCGACTCCTTTGCCATTGAGGGTTCGTCTAGTTCAACGTCATAGTGGGACCCTTTTCTCTGTCATGATCCAGTATGTCTCAAATCCAGATTTGCCTGCACCGTTGAAGGATGTGACATTTGTTTTGAAGTTGCCTGTTGATCCGACTTTGTTGAAGGTTTCACCCAAAGCAGCATTGAATAGGTCTCAGAAAGAATTGAAATGGGTTTTGCCAGAGATTCCACTTAAAGGTGCTCCTGGTAAATTGAGGGTGAGGATGCCTGTTGACTCGAGTGAAGGAGAAGGTGATGAAGAGATAGAGGCAGTTTGTTATGTTAAGTTCTCCATGGAAGGAACTACCTCATTATCAGAGATTTCTTTGCGGCCTGCCTCAGAAGGGAATACTGACTTCTATGAGGTTAATCACAGGTACCACAGTGGAGTTTATATGTGCAATTGATCATTGAGAGAACCTTTTTCCGGGAAATCATTGTGTCTTGTTTCTCCTTACTGAGATTTTTGGCCCCTTTTCAATGTAGCATACTTCCTTGTCAAGTTGTAACATAGACTGCTGTTGCTGTGATTTTTTTTTCCTGGTTTTGTGTTGGTTAATATTTTTGAATAGATAGTTCAGCTGTTACTTTCTTACCTCTTTGTATTGAAGTTCTTGTTTATGCAATCTTTGGATTCTCGTGATTTTATTTCTCATTTTCTGCTCGAGTAATTATTCTATTTCACGTGGGGCAAGAACCAAGAGAACATGCGAAAAAAGAAGAATAAGAGGGATGTACTTACTGCAATGCTAACTGCGTGGTCTACTGCTACAAAGAAGCTACACATCATTCCAACTATTAACTGCTATTGTTTCTAGCGAAGGCATTGCAATTATGTCTGTAAGAAGAGAATGAGAGGTTTGAATCATGAATTTTCATAACTAAATCTGAAACATTTCATTTCTATCCAAACTCCTTGCTCATTGTTCTGCATATAAGTTGGTGGACTTTGGAATGAGATGCATTAGTTGCCTATGCCTGTGTTTGTTTCCTCATTATTTCTGGCTGCTAAAATTCATTGCAGGGATAGTATAATGCATTGTACTGAGCGACGTGGGATGTCATCTGGTGCTGTGGGAGGAATGTTTGACTAGGTATGTTAGGAAGAAGGATCCAGCAAGTGTCATCATGATTTCATGTTGCTAGTTTAGGTGAAAGAACAGTTTACAGGTGAACTACATTAGGAAACTTATTGGCAGAACATTGCATGAACTAGAAATCTGCTGCTGCTGCTTTAAACCTCGTCCTTTATTTGGACCGACAGTGCTGAACATGTCTGTTCGTTGATTTTTTCGTTACACTATCGTCCTTGGTACTTAGTGTTTGGCTTGCAGAATTTTGTTTTGTAGTGGGCTTGTATAACATGGGGTTTGATATGTGACCTAGATATTTGTGAACTCTCCTATAAAAACAAAAGATTCCAAACTTGTGCAGCTCTAAGATTTTGCTCGGGAATTACTGAAGTTCGCACATTGCAAGCATGTCATTGTCACTATACGGATTAGTGTGTTTTCATGTATGCTAGGTGGTAACAGGTCTACCTGGTGAAGAGAATTTCCAGCTGTGCATGTTTGTTATTTAGTTTGATACTGTTGCTTAGTTTACCATGTATGATGATCTGAAGATCCACTAGCAAATATGACCGAGAAGTGATCCAAACTCTATGCTGGCTCTTTGAGCTTTGTTGTTATATTGTTTGGACTTTGGCAACATGCAGGTTTTGAAGGTTGACTAGTCCGGCTTAAGACTGCTGTTAGGCTATGCTGGCCCTTTGAGCTTTGTTGTTATATTATTTTGGGACTTTGGCAACATACAGTTTTTGGAGCTTGACTAGTCAGGCTTAAGTCTGCTGTTATATTGGTTCACGGGGCTGGAAATGTAAATATTTGTCAAGTTTGTGAATATTGAGTTTTGACGGTGATTGAGTTCTGAATTGCCTCGAAGATTAGGAGGTAAAGTTTCTGACATTTGCAACTTATCATGATTCCCGGAGCAGCATTAACTTGTTTGGTTTTCCATTACGTTGTATGTGCTGGTGATTTAGCATTATTGTCTTGTTATCTTCATTTATGTTTCAGCCAGGAACAGAACCAACATATTTATGGAAAGCCATGGTGTCTTGATTGCTGGTAATCATCGATAGCTATTCCTCGCAACTATGCTGAACTTTCCTAGTGAGGGTGCTAGCTGTCTATCTGCAAGTTCCGGTTTGCTGCCAATCTAATGAAATTGTGCTCCTGTGCTTGCAGAAGTAATCTTTGTGTTCTGGATACTCTTAATCTAGAACTGAAGGCACTTCTTAGAACCAAACAGATTATTTGTACTCCCATGAAGAGAGTGATAGGAGAAGACAGATTATCCATATTGCAACTTTGGAGATAGAGAGCAGAATAAATCCAATAAGTTAACAGGAGTTTGCCGAGTAGGAGGCTGCCTAAGTCAATGTGACAAACTGGACAAGTGTCTAAATCCTGATGCCGTATCTTCTTGTGTTAGTATCTTCTGTAACCTGCAGGGATCGATGGATGAGCCTTTACTCTCTTCAGCTCGGAGAAGACGCGCACACTAGAAGATAATAGGTGAGTTTTTTAACACCGTCCAATATGTCATTTGACTCAGGGTCCCTTGCTCTCGAAGAGCCCTGACGTTACTTGTTTGGCTCATCGACCCCTCTCGGTCTCCAACCACAATGTTGTAATATAGGCTCATCTCTTTCTCTTTTTGAGTACAAATGGTACGTCTCTCTCTGTCTCTAGAGTACTCATGGTATGTTTGGTTCTACGGAGAGTACCACAGATGGAAGGAGGAATGAGCTTGGAATTGTATCGACTGAGCTCTTGGCTGGTAGAGAGAGCTAGAGCATTAATAAGTTCTGATATTCAGAAAGAAAAAGGTACACCTATTTTTATTGATAACCAAGTCTTTCTGTTCAGCAATAAGTTCATATATTTTGATGTTGGCACTATTTTTAGGAACGCGATATTCATGCCTTAGTCTCCCCCATAACTAAAAGAAGAAATGCAAAGGGGGCCGCCACTAAGGTGAGTTGCTTTCATCTTTTGTAGTTAATATCCTGAAATCTTCCCTAACATGCTACTACTCTGTAGCATGGAAATGGTTGACAGAAAGATCAGCAACTTTGTTCATGCATTCACACATCATCTTCCATTATTGCTCTCTCCTTGAGTGGTCACTTAAGTGGCTTCCCCTGGTCTTAAAAAGTCAACAGTCCCGAGATTTCGACATCGCCCAGAGTGTGGTTTGTCTCTGCTTTCTTGCTTTCTTTCAGACTCTTTGCTGCTAGACTGTAGTTGGTATTACTGTAGCCCATGCCCCTAAATTCGTGGTGTCTAATGATTCCTTTTTTTATGGTCCTAATCAGGATTGGCAGCTACTTATAGAAAAAGAACAAAAGAACGGGCGGCTTCCCGTCTCCTATCAATGTACCTTATGACAAACAGTGTGCTGCTAGATTATAGCCACTAATCTGTGATCAAGTTTTCTCTGTTTCAGATTTTTTTAAGATCCTACGACATGGTAGATCCCCTGAGAAAAGGGTGAAGGAAAGAATTTCACACTCTACAGCATCTATCAGCCTGGAACCCTCATTTCATCAGCCGATTTAATTTGCAGGTTGAAGATCACTTTAATCTTTCTGTTTGATCCATGAGAATGAAACGACTTTCTTCCTTAGTTCATCCACTTCGTCGACACTAGATCGTTCGTTGTCGCTCGTTATGCATTTACTTACACTTGATTACTGCCCAGGTGCGCATCTGAGTTCCTCGCCGCTGGGGGAAATGAACAGAGGTCTGGAACGATGCGCTGGACGCCATAATCAGCCTGCAAAAAAGATGCTGTAATTGAAGTATTTGGTCAAACTCTAATCATTGATTCTCTTTCTCATGCAAATTAGTTCTCTAATCGGAAGAAGAAAACAAAACGAGCTCAGTTTCCATGATAACAGTAACAACGACAAAAACTTAGTTATCAAATAATTAACGGGCAATAATGCTATGTGCTATTTGGAACAATTCAATAGGATGGTTGCTTTTTATTGTTTTCTTTCGGTAGGGATAGGGAAATTGGTGTTATAAGATGATTGGAAAATGGGGATTACAGTTGATTCTTTGCACTTGGGTCTTGGGGTGCCTCTTTTGTTTTCTTTCTTCTCTAACATGATTTGGGAATGGGCCAAATCTCCAGCAGTGAAAGCCTCGTGTAGTGATAAATGGGCTAGCGGGCACTTTCGTGAAAAGAGAAAAGAAAAAGTAGGGTTATTGACATTTATTAAGCTCCTGTTGTTTATTTGTTTCTAGTCCTTGAGTGAAATTTTTTTACCTGGATACGTAAGTCAAAGTAGGGGTGAGAAACCGTGTGGTTTATCACTTAGAAATCGAGTGTTGTATCGTTTTTCACTGGTAAACCGCACCGTGTAGCGTGGTGAACCTCAACTGAATAAGATAAGAATAACCAATCGTGACTGCACCGCAAATGGTTTGCAATTAACCACTAGCTGCACATTTAAGTAAGTGGTTAACCGAGGTAGTAATCGAAAAGGTCACTATGAGGTCTATGGAATAAGGTAGTTGCCACTCCTCACTAGCTATCGATTCCCCTCGTCTCTCGACTCTATTCATCACTCCAGTCTCCAGGCTGGCAGGTCTCTACTCTCTAGTAACCCTAGGAAAGGATTTTGTTTCGCAATTTGGGAAAACAACGTCAAAATGTAGAAGACGATTGACGAATTGAGAGTAACGAAAATGGAATTGGTGGATTCTTGGAGGCTAGAAGTGTCGAGTTGGGGTGAATGGGACGCTAGGCGGGCTGGTGGTGGTAGGGCCTGTCAGCCTGAGGTGTAGCTCTAGCGTTGGCTTGTTGACTACTATTTTAGTGTTGTTAGTGAATCAACCATGATTTTATTCGATGCGGTTTCTACAAACCGTGATCATATAAGAGCCAATTTAAACGGGTAGCTGCTAATAGCGCTTATTTGGTATAGTCGTGATTTAACGGCAAAATCTTAATCGTTTTCCCACCCATTAAGTCAAAGATGTATCGGTTGCTCTTCAATTTGGCTTTGTCATGCTACCAGATACATTGTGAAGAAGAGTGTTTAGATGAGATCTGGTAGTTGATTTGAGGGGCAAAACATTAATCTATGTTATACTATGAGTAGTCTAAGATGTGCTTACCAATAGGAACAACAATGGGTCGGGTTTAGGGTGCATTTTTAAACACACACCCTCTCCATCACCGTGCCAGTGATACTTTTTCATCTTCGTGGTTTTCAGATACATGCAAATAATGTCATCCGACACATTGTTATCAAAATTCAATTCAAAATTAATATAATTAAGTTGAAAACACATATGATTGTAATGTTTGTACGTTGAATGAGCATCATATATCACAAACAAACCACAAAAGTATGCAAAATGTAACCAAAATATAAATCTTTTGTGAGAATTAGGGTTAATAGATAACATATATGTATTTGATGATGTATTGATGGAATTAAAAAGGAAAACAAGGAGGTTAGAGTTAGGGGGTGGAAGTTTGGTTTGTGGATTGCGGATAATCTGCAAACCGCACCAAATTGCATACTTTGTGGGTAACTATATCCACAATTTGTGGATAGTGGTTGGGTGTGGGTAGCAAAATGTTGATTTTTGTGGTTAGTGGTTAACCACTATTGTTGGGCCGCATAGTTGAGCGTACTTGGACCTCAGGCCCAAGAGGGGAGAGTCGGCGTTTAAGGCCCAATAAGGAGGGCGGGCCCGATCCTCAGACCGGGTCAGCAGGCGGTCCATGACCGACTGCGAACCCGAGGAATAGATAAGGACGCCTGACATAAAGCAACTGAGCAGCACAGAAGGGCAGAGAGCCGTTGAAGATGCGTATCTGGTGTCAGGCAAGACTGAGCATTTATTGCCGGCCACAGGCGGCCTGCAGAAAGACTAAAAGCCTTCTAGGACGCTTGACATGGCCTAAAAAGCCTGCACGAGATGCCCGACCAGGTCTGGGGCGCCCGACACAACATTTAATGCCCCAACCACCCTCAAACCAGGTATAAATATAGGGTGAGTACATTAATGGTGAGGCCAACTACTATTCATCTCTCTACATAAATTCTGATCTCCCTACTTCTCTCTCTAACTTAAGCTTCGGAGGGTGTCCCAGGCGAACCGCCCCGGACCGCTGTTTTGCAGAGTATCAGGAGTGCTCCATGACATCCAAGAACAGGCGCCTCGCCCCAGCTCCACAAACCGCCTAGTATCTACTAGGCACAAACAATTTGGCGCCCACCGTGGGGCAGGAGCGGAGCGCTTAAATCGAAAGATGGAGGGGAACTTCAGAACTCCAGTGAAGGACGTCATCGGCGGGGAGAGCATCAGAGGTTTGGAAATGCCGACGGTTGAAGAAGAAAAGGATATGGAAGAGCGTGTGAGAGACCAGGGGCAGCAGATCACCAGTATGCAAGAGAGTTTGAGCCAGATCCTCACTATGCTCAAAACAAGAGACGAGCCCGAAAGTTCTAAGATGCGAGGTGGCAAGGGCAAAGGGGTGGACGGAGAGATGCCTCCCAACCCCCTCGCACAGAAGACGGAGAGTCCGACAGAGAGGAAGACGCTGACGGCGTCCACCTTGACCTCCTCGAAGAACACCTGCGCCCCTGCTACGGGAAGCCCAAGGGCTACAACGTGCTGCACAACCCCTTGGCGAAGAGCCTCTTCAAAACCCAGGTGCCCTCAAACTTCTCATCGCTCGGTCTCCCTGCCTACACGGGAAACTCAGATCCGTCGGATCACTTGAGCGCCTTCATGCTCAAGATGCAGCTGATTAACGCCTCAGACGCTGATCTGTGCAAGGCGTTTTCAGTCACCTTCGGGGGGCAGTGCCGAAGCTGGTACGCGTCCCTACCAGCCGGGATAATCGAGAACTTCGAACAGTTCGCCACCCTTTTCTCTTTGAAGTTCGCTTCTTAGCGCAGGAGGCAGCTCACGGTCTCCGCCCTCATCAACTGCAAACAAGGGGAAGAGGAAACCTTGGCCGACTTCTACGACCGATGGAATACAATAGCTTGCGAGGTCCAAGACGTCTCAACCAGCGTGGCCGCCGGGAACCTGAGAATGTCGACGCACAGCCGGGAACTAAAGAGGTCTCTCATCAAAAAGGAGCACAACATCAAGTCTTGGCAAGATCTAGACCGCGTGGTACGAAAGGCCATTTTCTTGGAAGAGGCGCTCAACGCCGAAGAGGGCGCAAAGGGGGCTCCAACGTCATCAAGCAAAGTGGAAAAAGGAAGGAACGAGTCGCCAAAGCGAAGGGGGCGCACGCCCGAGCGACGAAACTACAAGCCCAGGTTCAGCAACAGAGACGGAAGGCGTGAAGTGTTCGCGTCAGAAAAAGAGGACGACGGACGCCGCGATGGGAGCAAAGCCCGGGAAGCGCGTCCCCGCCAAAGGAGGGACGACGATCAAAAGTGGTGCGACTGGCATCAGCTACCGACTCACGACACCATAGAGTGCCGTGAGTTCAAAGCCAGCCTCAAGTACCTGGCGCCGGGAGACCTGAAAAGCCGTCTGGACACACGGGCGCATCCCAGGGAGAGAACGGAGGAAAGGGACAGGTCACCTAGCCCAAGGAGAAGGTCCCGCACGCCCAGACGTCGGAGATCCCGGTCGCCGAGAAGGGAGCGAACCCCACGCAGGGAGCGCTTACCTCCGCCGCCGCCAAGGTACGCCCCTCCTCATCGACACCCTGCCTCGAGAAGAGGAAGAGGGAGTCGAAATAATCACCATCGCTGGAGGACACAAGCGCCCTCGGACAGAGGGGGACCGCTTGGTGCAATGCATGAACGTGCACAGGAAAGAACAAGTCGAGATCAGTTTCGCACCTTCAGAACTGGCTCCCGAAGAGTGTGAAGAAGACCCGCTGGTCATCTCTTTCCGCACGAAGAAGTTTAAGGTCACCCGAGCCTTAGTCGACAACGGAAGCTCAGCAGACATCCTGTTCTACTCCACGCTCAAGAGCATGAAGAGAGGGCTGCAGGACCTCAAACCGTCCACGACCAGTTTGGTAGGATTCTCCGGGTCAAAAGTCAGGGTTCTGGGCTCCATCACTCTCCAGGTGACGATCGTGGGCCCGGAAGTGACGAAGACGCGCCTCATGGACTTCAACGTGGCGGACTGCCCCTCCGCCTACAATGCCATATTGGGGCGCGGCTTCCTGTCAGCCTTCTCGGCTGTCCCTTCTACTTGCCATCAGATGCTTAAGTTTCCCGCCAAAGGCAGGATAGGACGCGTCCTTGGTGACTCCCAGCAGGCCAAAGAATGCTACCAAGCCACCATCAGGAACTTGGAGGTCGACCAGGTGGACACAAGGAGAAGTCATCCACGCCCTGAAGCGGCCGAGGAAGACGTCGCGGTCGTGTTAGACGACGACGAGCCAAAGAAGAAGGTGAGGATCGCAGCTCACTTGGCGGAGGAGCAGGCGCGAGAGCTCTTGTCCCTCCTAAAAGAATTCAAAGATTTATTTGCGTGGACGTCGGAGGACATGCCAGGCGTGCCACGGGAGCTGGCCGAACACTCCCTGTCAATCAAAAGCAAGGCGCGGCCCGTACAGCAAAGGAGGAGGAACGCCTCCCTCGAAAAGCAGATGGCATTGGAAGAGGAGGTGAAGCGCTTGCTGAAGGCAGGATTCATCAGAGAAGTAAAATACCCAACGTGGCTGGCCAACCCTGTCTTCGTGCGAAAGGCGTCCGGTCTTTGGCGAATGTGCATCGATTTCACAAGTCTCAACGCGGCCTGTCCTAAGGACGCATATCCCTTCCCCAGAATTGATCAGCTGATCGATGCGACTGCAAATCATGAGACACTAAGTTTCCTAGACATGTTCTCGGGCTACCACCAGATACGCCTGTCGGAAGAGGACCAAGAGAAGACCGCGTTCATGACGCACATGGGAAATTTCTGCTACACGGTCATGCCTTTTGGTCTGAAGAACGCGGGCACGACGTACCAAAGGATGATTGATACAGTGTTCCAGAAGCAGTTGGTCCGAAACGTGGAAGCCTACATCGACGACGTCCTAGTCAAAAGCAAGAAGGGGGCCGATCACTTGGCCGATCTAAGGGAAACATTCGAAACGCTTCGAAGAGAGCGCCTCCGGCTGAATCCGCTGAAATGTGTGTTCGGAGCAAAAGCGGGAAAGTTTTTAGGATTCATGATCACTAACAGGGGCATAGAGGCAAACCCAAAGCAGATTGAAGCAATACTCAGCCTGAAACCGCCCCGCACGGTGAAAGAAATCCAGGCGTTCAATAGAAAGATGGTCGCCCTGAGCCACTTCATCCCGCGGTCGGCAGACAAATGTTCACCTTTTTCCAAATGCTGAAGAAATCCGCGTCTCGCCTACAATGGGGACCTGAATGCGACAAAGCCTTTTTCCAGCTGACGGAATAGCTGGCCTCTCCTCCCGTTCTTAGCGCCCCCCTCCAGGCCGAGCCCTTATATCTGTACCTGGCGGTTTCTGATCAGGCGGTCAGCTCAGCCCTGGTAAGGAGGGACGCCGATGGCACAGACCATCCCGTATACTATGTCAGCAAAGCCCTCCTCCCAGCGGAAAGGTGATATATGTCGATTGAAAGGGCGGTCCTAGCGGTCATCTCCGCGGCGAGAAAACTACGCCCTTACTTCCAGGGGCATCCAATCACTGTCCTGTCCAACCTACCTTTAAAAAGATACTCAGAAGTTTGGACGCCTCGGGAAGGATGACTAAGTGGGCGGTCGAGCTCAGCGAGTACGACATCACGTACGCGCCGCGTCCTTCCATAAAAGGGTAGGTGCTGGCGGATTTCGTGGCAGAAGGTTTTAGCCTCGACACTACCGAGGTAGAAGGAGAAGTTGAAGTGTGGCGCCTG